AGATTAAGAATGACCTTTGCTAGAAAAAGCCAAGCGCATCTCAGATGTGAAGGGCTGGCAGGGCTGCCAATCGCTCTTCCTGGAAGGAGGGCGCTCTAGGGCAAGAGGCAGGCCTCTGAGTCTGGACTCTGCTCAATAAGCAGATGCCCAGGGGGCAGAACCAGAGACCTGGGCTGGTCAGAAAGCTGAGCTGAGGATCTGGCCTTCAGGCTACTCTGTTGTTGTTGTTGTTTTAAATCAGTTTTGATGGACAGATGCCAAATCTACTTAGAATCGGCCATTTCTTACTTTCATTTCTGTATTTTAGAAATGGGTAAGTACTAAAGCGTTAAGGGCAATCAGCGTAACAACTCAATGAGCCTGATTTTGCTACATTCCACCTTCTTTCAAGATATTAAATTTGCATACAGAAAAAATGTGCAGGTACATAAACAGTGAAACCGTATCATGCCGAGTTAAAAGGAACACGCTTGCTTCAACAGAATACTCAGCGCACTGCCACTCATGTGAAAGTCATTCTGAGAACACGCTGCTTATTTAATTAGAATTTGAGGTCACAGCCCATTGAGCACAGAAAACATGGCTTTGAAAACAGAGCCAATATCAATACCAACCCAATATCTTTGCAAAAAAAGACAAACCTACCTTTTCATTATACCACAGCGACGCGGAATCTTAAGGGAAAGCCGTCCAGTCTCCCACTCACTCAGAATGTTTAGATCTCCTCCCCGGAGGAAGGCTGAAAGGGAAGCGCATACCCTAATGTCCTTGTCGACTTCAATTGTAAAAATGTGTTTGTACTGACACAGAGCTGTGAGATAAAGACAACGGGAGCATATAATGAAGTTTGAAAGCAGCTCAGCTGTTTTTGCGTCAGGAACAACTTCACTGAGTTCAATGAGGACCTTTTGGTTGGGGGAAGGGGAAGGGGTCAGACAAGAAACAGGTGATCTGAGACCCAGAGCTGACCCTTACCCGCCCTCTAACAGAGGGAGAAAGAAGACAGAGGGTTTCTGGGATCAAACAAAAGCAGAAAAGTGAAAAATGAAGTTTTAAAATCCACACAGGTCACTAAATTATCTACTTCCTTCTAGGCAAACTAAGTTTACAAAAGGAAGTCCAGTTTCAAACGGTTTCTCTCTTGTTCCATCTCTAAAGTGAAAGAAATACTGCGGTCCGTCTACACCACGCATGTCAAACCCACCGCCTGCGGGCCTCGTTTGTTTGGTCTGTGTTAGCCTTTGTTTGACAGGCTTGATTTACACCAGCGAATACTATGCAGCAGTAAAAAAGGATCTCTTACCCTTTGAGATCCTGCTAATCTCATAGCAGTGGTTCTCAACCTTCTGGCCCTTTAAATACAGTTCCTCATGTTGTGACCAATCCATAAAATTATTTTCGTTGCTACTTCATAACTGTAATGTTGCTACTGTTATGAATCATCATGTAAATATCTGATATGCAGGATGGTCTTAGGCGACCCCTGTGAAAGGGTCGTTCGACCGCCAAAGGGGTCGCGACCCACACGTTGAGAACTGCTGGCATAGAGGGACCTGGACCCAGTCTTGTTTTAAAATGTTTATGGTCCAGAACTCTCTATTCAGTAAATACAGTGCAAATAAGCTGTACTGATGCTCTGGTTAAAAATGACCAGATCTGTTCTTTGCTCCTTGCAAGTTCCATTGGAGCAAAGCCCTTTAGCCACAAGGGACTCCACAAAATCCAGTTCCCATGATTGCGACCCTCTGTCCTGGTGGGTGGGGTAAGTGCTGTCAGGAACAGGGCGCCCCCTAGAGGCAAGTCTTCCAGTCTTTCCCATTCATTAGCGTGTGGTTCTCAAACATGGTCCCTGGATGAACAGTATCAGCATTACCTGGAACAGGTTAGAAATGCACATGCTGGGGCTACATCCGTCTTAGGCCCCTGGAGCGACTACATCGAAATGCCACAGACTGGATACCTTACAAACAGAAATCCATTGCCTGCAGTCCTGGAGGCTGGGAATCCGAGACCCAGGCGCTGGCTGAGTCCGTGTCCGGTGAGAGCCTGGTTCCTGGTGCACAGACGGCACCTTGCAGCTGTGACCACACAGTGGAAGGGGCAAGGGAGCGTTCCCTTTCATGTGGGCTCCATCCTCATACTCTAATCCCCTTCCAAAGGCCCCACCTCCTAATGCAATCACCTTAGGGGTTAGGATTATTTCAACCTATGAATTTGGGGGAGACACAGTCAGGCCACAGCAGCCCCATCGTAGGCCCGTTGAATCGGAACCTCTGCAGGGGGCGGCAGCAATCTGGGTTCAACAAGCCTCCAGGGATGCGAACTCCACACACAACATCAGAGAGCCACTGTATTATAACTTCACCCCGAGATGTCAGGTGTCACCGTGCAAAGAAATAATTACAGAGGCGTGAACTACCTCGCCTGTCTTTCCTCCAGGCAGACGAGTACAGCTGATGCTCACATCAAGCAGAAACATGGCGCTGCTACTGAGGAATGTCACGCGCCCACACTGTGGTTTAATGTACGAGCAAAAGCTTTCAGCGGCTCTGGAATTATCCCCAAAATAAGGCTTTAAAGAACGACTGTGTCCCTTGATGAAAATGATAAGCCATCGCAGTGTGTGATGCCACAGGTACAAGAGCGTGGGCAAGCCCCGCGCCCCTCCCAGGACGAAGCAGCTCTGCTCTGCCGGCCCCGCCCTCGCTTATCCAACGGCACCAGGAGGCTGGACACCCCCGTTCAGGGAGGAAGCGAAAATAACAATAGACAACAAAGTACTCCTCGTATTTTCATGATCTTTTTTATTTAACATACATAGTACATGTAAACAACCGGCATAAAAGTCATAAAAATACAATGCTCCTCTGTCGCATCACTGTGTCCTGACGCACCCTCCCCTCTTCTCCTCACCCCGCCTCACTCTAACCTGCACTGCTTCTGCCAAGCGCTACCAGGGGCTTATCTTCTAGAAATACTGCCCCGGCTTCGTTTGCTCCCGTCAGAGCATAGCTGTCTTTATCGCCTCCTTGCCCATCCTTACCTTCCTCACACTAAAGCAAAAATATCTTTAAATGCTAAAAAATGTGTAAAATACTGAACTTCAATACTGTTTTGTCACATTTATGAAACCTACTACTACGCTGTGTTGCCATAAAAAGAGATTTAGAATCTGCAGCAGCGGCTGCCCCCGGACATGACCATGACCGTGACGGTAACGGAGACTGAGCGGGCCGCGCAGCCCGAGGCCTGCCCACACCGTTGGCCGAAAAGCAGAACCAGAGCTTGCTGGGAGCCGTGTTACAAATACTGATACACGTGACCTGGAATGACACCAACGTGACCACTTTCCCCTCCCCCAGCACAGGAAGCAGTGGCCACTGTATTTAATGTCCAATCATAACATGGGAACTTATTAGGAAGGAAGTCACTGGAGGGGGGAGGAACAGAGAATAACTTTAAAAGTACCGTTTCTTAAAAGTCTTGTACCCGCTGAATATACAGAAGAGCCACACGTGGGTGGGAAACGGCTGCAGACGGAGGAGGCGCTTCCCTCCGCCGCCCCACACGCCCATCCTCGGGGCTCAGGTCCCTCTTCCCATTTTTCTGGACCAATTCCACTCCTCAGCCACAACTCCCCTGGCTACTTCCCAAGAAGTAAGTCACTCAGCAGGTGGTAAAGGGGTGGGGGACAAGCACCTAAAGACAGGGACAGAATGGGGGGGGGCAGGCGGGGGGGGCTGGAAGGACGTTCCCGGGACTCAGGCCTGGGCTGCACACTCAGGTCTGCTCTAAGCTGACCCGGCTGGTCCTTGGTCTGTGAGGAGGCAGAGACTAGAGCGATGCGTGGCTCCGAGACGAGAGCAATGCATGGCTCCCAGGTGGGCACCGACACCCCCGCCGAGACTCGGGGCTCAGGGCGCTCCAGTGAGGCTCACCTGCCTGTGGTTAGAGGACGCTGCATGATTCAGTGTGTAGTCCGCCAGAGGCACGGTTTGCTTAGAATTTAAAATCTTAAAACCGTTTCTCAGAGCTACAAGGATTCACTGTTCTGAAAAATCTCATTTCACACAACTTCTAGAAAACAAAAATTCATAGGAGGAACTCAAAGGAGGTTTGGAAATTTTTAAAATAAAAATAAATAGGAAGAAAAATATAAAGAGGAAAGCTGAATATATTCATTCCTCACACTGAAATGGTTTTTAGAACCAAAATGGTAAGGCTTAAGGCTTTGTCTTATTAAAGACAGGCAATTTTAAAAGTAAAATATAAAAACTCCATTCAATATTATTATTCATTTACTTTCTGACAGAAAAATTAGTCATGTTGTAGTAGATCTTAATAGTAACAGAAAAGCTACCACACACTACAGTCTATTGTTCCACTGTAAATTATGTCTACAGAAATATACATTAGTTTCTGGATGTATTACATTTGAGGTTGTTCAAAATAGTTTTTCTTAAAACTACAATTAAACATGAAAAATTTTAAAAGTGGTTTAAAGGTATTAAAATATACACATTTGAATAATACTAAAAATGAGAAAATATACACTCGCCATTAAATATTTTTAAACCAAGAATAAGTACTTGATAAGGAACTAACTGAGTAAATACCACTGATTTGACAAAGAATGTTGGGCTGGGGGAGAGGGAGGAGGGAGAAGAAACGCTAACACCACACTGTTGGCTGGCACAGCAATGGACCTGGCCATTCGGTCTTAGTGTCTGGATTATTAATGGGCAGGAAATGCTTGTTAACAAGAGCAACAAAGAATGAAAGCACACGGAGAAGGGAAGTAAACAGGTAATTCCACCCAGCAACCACCCCTGGCAGCCCTGTCTACCCTTATGACAGGGACCAGCAGGGCTGAGGAGCCAATGATCACTGGCATGTCCCAAAGACAAGAGCAAGAGGCAGATGCAAAAGCAAGGGCATTAATGGTCCATAAACTGTGAAATCAGCCCCCACGGAGTTCAGAATTGACCATATTTTCATATCATCTTTGTCATCACCTATTTATTTTGTAGACAGGTAGCTCTGCTCCTTTTAGCACAAATGTTTAAGTCAAATACAAGCATATACTCATTTGCATAGCAAATTTTAAGGGGTGCATTGAATAGTACCCAATTCATAGTGGTATACATACTTTTACAATCAGAATGACATTCGAATCGACCAAATAAAACACTGTCCTATTTGAAAACAGTTAGCTATAAAAGTTTTTGGGATCTGCTTAAAAACAAGGCATGAGTTATTAGCAAAACGTTAAAACCATGAGTGATGCCCTTCTCTGTAGGCCGCGGTCATTCTTCTATCACTTCTAAGACTTTGTAAACACTGTTCTGGAACACGGTGGTGAAGTGCGGCTCGGAGTCCTTCACCAGGAGGTTACATAAGGGCGGCTTCCCAGCGTTGGCGGGGTCCTCCACATCCCAAATCTCGGGCATGCTGCAGCCGGGCCTGGAAGATTCACACACAGGGAACCAAGGGGTGTCAGAAGGCGCAGGTGAAGCAGGGCACACACTGTCTATCCTGCCCTCCCTCCTTTCACCTGCTCCACGTCAACTAACTGAGTTTAAAAAATCCAATCAGAGTAATTTACACTTGTGTGAGCCGCCCTAAGTCCTCCTTAGAACAAGGAGGAACACAGCAAAGCTAACGCTAAAGAAACAGACCTACAAAGTATGTGAATGCAGTGATGGGGAAAGAGCTTGGTTACCCTCTGCCTCAGCTACTTACCAAAATGTGCATTTGGACAGTTCGCTCAGCCTCACCCCCACATTTCTAAAATGGGAAATACCCCTGGCTTGGCTGTGTATAAGGATTAATACAGACACTGTATCTGGCATGGTACCCAGCATGTAGGAAGAGGTAATCTATTATATTAATTTTACAAATTTTAATTGGCAAGTATACTTAGTTCATATTTATGCAACTTTCCATAAACTGTATTCCAGAATGAGCCAACTTCAAGAAAATGCAGTAGTGTTAAACTCACATCTTAACTGAACCCATAATTCAATCTTGAAAATGACATATTTTTTTTTAAAGAACAGTATAAGTAAAATTGGTATTATGTGATATTTGCCCAAATAAGATTAAGATCTTCGAGATAACTCGAACATTTATTTTAAATCTAAAATTGTTGGCTTTTGTTATGGTTCACAATTTCCTTTTTTTTTTTTTGGCTTTTGTATATTGAAGATTTTTATATTATACTCCAAAATATCAGTCTTTTCTTTTAGAGCTTATGACTTTTGTCTTGTTTAAAGAATTCTTCCATACCACACTATCGTGAACACATACATTGTGTATTCTCCCATAAAAGTTTTAAGTTTGCTGTGTACATTTAGACCTAGAACGCATCTGTAATTAATTTCCTGTATGGTGTGAGGTAGAGATTTGATTTTAAATTTTTCCATACAGAAAGCCCAGTAGCTCTTGGTCCAATTATTGCTTATCAAATCCATCCTCACATACCCACTGTTCAGTAAGTGACACATTGCTTTCCAATCTATATTGCCTAATATTTATAATCACTAAAGTAATCATTGATTCAGCAAGGAATAAAAACTGGATGTAAAAGATATCTGGTGAAACGCTGTTGAGAAAGAGGATGAACAAATGGCCTCTACGTACCACTCTATAGATTTCTCATTACTAATAAAGGAAAGCTGTCTCCTTAAACTAGAGAGAGTGGGACATGCTTCAATCACGTGAAGGGACTTAGCTTCACGGATGACAGAACAGAGGGATGTGCACTCCTAGGGGACACGGAATGGAAGCGCAACCACTTCTCTGCCAAACTGAGCCTAGTCCAGAGGATCGCAGGGCAAGTCACATGTGGGACGTGCTTACAAAACGCTGGCCCCATTCATAAAACAGAAAAGGTGAATGCAAGTTCACAACCTTCTATTCGCTTTGAGAATTTTAAAAAATAAAAACGACAGAAAGTACCAGGAGAAATTATAGAGCGTTGACAACTGCTCATGTTTTGTCATAGTTGCTTCACTTTTTTCTAAGAGAAAAAGCCATTCCCAGCAAGTCCCTTTATTCCCAATGGCAACCCCACTCCCTACTCTCCACCAGGAGGCGGGCACAGTGGCGGAATGCAATCCTTTCTCTCTTCATAGCATCTTTACTTAGAGGTAATCAATCATCCAGAAAGTGTCAGAACAGACCTATCAAAATAAAACATGGAAGTCAGCATCCCCTCCCGGGCCATCCTCAGAGGTGACTTCTGCAAAGAGCCCAGCACACACTCTGCCAGACCTTTTTCTTCTGGTTCAGACACAGGCACACGGAGGCACGGGCATTTACGTGGGCTGATGCCCCCCGGCTGCTTTTACACAAATGAGATTGTTCTGGGACTCTTCACTGCCAATAAAATGTGGCCCTTTTCCATCTCATTACATAAAGACCTGCTTTACTCTTTTTAATTGTCGCTGGGACTCCTGTGCATTACGTAACCACTCTCTTACGGGTGGATGTTTAACTGTTTCCCATGTTACCATAATAAAGCGGTGCCTGCATAAACATTTCTGTGCCTCTATCCTTCTGCAAGCTAAGCTTCTAGAAGCAGCACTATCACCCTGACGAAGGGCTACACAACTTTCACGTTGCCTCCGTCAAAGCATCTCCACGGGAGGTTTCCCCAATGAGTGTTCGTGTGCAGAGTGTTTGGTGCACATTTTTGCACACCATGGCTGACAGTGGATTCTACCGACACTGAGCACACACATGACAGGGCTCGGCTTGTGTACCTTCTCGTTTTCTCCCAGGAGCTGAGGCCAGGCTGTTACCACACTGCAGGCCAATGGCAGCAGAGAGTGAACTACACAGCAAGCAGAAACTCCCAGCTCCTGAGCTCCCCTGCTTGCAGGAGAAAAGAAGGCAGAGCTGCCTTTGGGAGACTGTCTGCCCAAGTGTAACATCCTTGAGTCCCTATCAAGTTCCCAAAGTCTCCCCAGGCCAGCCGGCTACATCTTCAAACAGCATCAGTGAAAACCTGAATAATTTTCTTCTGAATTCATGTATTTTAATTTCATGTCAACTGTATTATTGGGACTAATGAGAAAGAAAGCAGAGAACTGAGAGTAGTTAATTAAAAGCTCATCTATAACTCGCATTTGAGTGATTTTCATACGTGTTATTGGAACACAGAGTGTCAAGTAATGAGGAATAATTAAGGCACACAATTAAGCCACTTGTAAATGAGATCATATAATTTAGGGCTCACCCAAGTGCTGGGCATGAACCAAACACTAGATAAGTATTAGTCCCTGTCCTTTCTTCTCGTATGTGAGTTCCTCATTCGCTCCTCTGTTCTGACAGGTTGCTCTGTCCCCGTGGCACGCAGGTGTCTCGGGCAGGCATGGCTGAGCTGGGAGCGAGGGCCCAGGTGGGGGAGAAGGAAGAGCCCAATGCGGGTGGAAAATCTGCCAAGAAACTCCGTCCATCCCATGGCCACGGCAGGCCTCGAAATCAGTCTTTCTCCCCCGCCTCCTCTCTGAGCGCCTGTTTGCTTCCCTATCAGAACGGAAAGCACAGTGTGCATTTTGTTTCAAGGACTAAGCCCTGAGATTTAGCATCAGTCTGGCTGCAATCTTGCAGCAGATCGAGTGTTGTTTTAGTAATGGAGTGGGGATAACAGGTTAGAGAAAGTCACTTCCTTCGCTTCCTGCCTCCCCACTTCTGCTGAACAAACACAAGGGCAAGTCAAGGTCCCCATGGGACTCCAGCACCCCCACCATCCACCTGAGTCTTGGTGCTGGCAACAAGCTCTGTCTAGATGGGTGATTCACTGCTGATGTTTAGGGTGCAGATTAACTGCATGAATAAATTCCTAAAGTTGTCTTCTCCCCCGTCATGTACAGAAAGCAGTGCTCTGCTATTAGCACGTGAACTACTACACCCACGCACATCCCGGGCGCTCCCACAGCACCTCAGCACCGAACCACACTATTCTGCAAGGGTCCAGGGGAACACGAAGACTCTTGAACCAAGGCTCGTCATTAGCTTGGGTGGGGGGAGGAGCATGAAACATGACATTTCTGTCCCAGGAACCTACAGCTGTCTCAGGCTGGCAGAGCCTTGGGAGTGAGGCCAAGGCACAAAGCAGACCGCAGCACGGTGGAAATCGCCGTCAAAAAATGGAGTGCTGCCCGGTGTGGCTCAGTGGTTGAGCATCGACCTATGAACCAGGATTCCCAGTCAGGGTACATGCCTGGGTTACGGGCTCAATGCCCAGTGTGGGGCATGCAGATCAAAGATTCTCTCTCATCACTGTTGTTTCTCTCTCTCTCTCTCTCTCTCTCTCCCTCTCCCTTCCTCTCTGAAATCAATAAAAGGAGTACTTCTGATGGCAGATGTCAGCCCTATCCAGTTATTACAAAGTCCTCATAAAAGTATGAGAAAAGTTAAGAGTTTTTTGTCCTAAATGTACTCAACATAGTTAAGATGAGTATACGAATTTCATATAGATTCCTATGTTCAAACAGACTTCAAGCATTTTCTAAAACATGACTCTAAGAACAATAACATTTTCCATAAATCCTGATTCAAGTCAAGTCACTTGGGACATATTCACAGAAAAACCGTTCAACAATCAACAACTGTTCGAGTTTCCTGGTGGGCAATGCTGACCAACCGTGTCCCAGAATTGTTTTCCCTCCTGAGTCCATATATAATTAGTGTGTCTTAACACCCTTGTGTGCCACGGAAATACATGGTGAGTAAGTAGGACCAAGCCACCGACACAGCAATCTCCTGACGGCTTCTGTTCAGCTAGAGAGCAGTGAGAATGAGCAGCATCCCATAAAAATCCCAGGTTTCTGGTGAGACGCTCCCATGCTTTGGTGTTTCAGCAGCAAGTTGCTGTCATCGGCTGTCCAGCCACTCAGTGCAGCTAACAGTCCACCGTGGAGCTCACAGTAGCTCTGAGGGTCTTACTAACTCTTCCTGCTACACCCTTAGTGAGCGGCTCTTGAAAACAGGCATGTTTTAAAACGATAAACCCAAGAGCATATGGGTCAGAGTACAGTCAGCCATTTTCCCACTCAAATACGACGTGAAACAGCAGAGAGGTTTTGTCTAAGCTGCAGGGTGGCAGGGATGGTGAGGACAAAGGAGGCCCTGACGCTCAGCGCCTCCCCACGTCATCACAACCAGACTCTCCATGTGGTCTCAGACTCTGCAAGTCTTTTGAGAAAATACATCCAATGTGAAATAAAAGATTTAAGAAACATCACAGGCAAATATTAATAATTCGGGAAATTATCAATCAGCGCCTGTATACTGCCTTTAAGGAAGTGTACACGGGCCAATCATTATAAAGAAACAGATATCTGTAATGACAGAAGGAAAAAACTCCAATTCAAACCATTACCTTACAAATATTTCCCCTTACACTTTGCTAAATGCTGTATCTCCCGCACGACTTAATGAAGCGCTTGCCCAGGAGCCTGACCTGACGTTCATGGCGCGTGGTCATCAAACATGTACTCACTTGGATCTCCTCACGCACCACGACTCTTCCAGGATGTAGTAATTCACTTGTAACTTGACCAGCTCTCGCTTCACTTCTTCAGCTGCTTTCCGGCTATACATCGAGTACACTATTTTCGTTCTGGCTCTTTAAAGAAAAATAATCGGGCAGAAGATTGTGAGATTAAAAGGGGCTGGGAGAAGGCGCCAGGGAGGCTGGGCCAGGAGCCCACTCAGGGCATCGGGAGGGAGGTTGGAAGGAAAGGGGAGGAGGGGGCACCGGACCTGGGAGAGGGGTTCCCACACTTGGGCTTTCTGGCTGTTTGCTTGGTTTTGTTCTAACGCGTCACTCTCATAAGTAAGAGGGGGTGGGATGCGCTACACAAGCACAAGATGGGCTCCTTCGCGCTGTACCAGCCCAGCCCTGACCCCGACAGTCAGCAGGCAGCAGCTCTCCAATTCGTCCCTAGGTTTGTAAAAGCTAAAATTATTCAACATACTGCTTTGGAAATGAGCTTGCCAGGAATAATTTTTTTTTAATCATGAAAAGCTTTTTATTTATAAAATGTATATCCCACTGTTATTACTAGGATTCACCCAGTCCCTTAGGAAAGGAATAACTTGACCTACCCTAGGAAATGCACGGAAATAGAGTCTATTTCCTTTTCAAAGAGAGCATACTTTATGTTTTGAAGAAAAAACAAAACACAAAATCATTTTAACAGGTTATACTGGTGAAAACCAGAATAAAAGCCTTTTTGAATGGAATTCCATCAAAATGGGCCATGAGAAAACCTTCATAGAAGCTATAGGCTAAGGAGTCTCCGGGAGCCGAGGAGGACGAGTAATAACCTAATGTTTGGGATTCGCGACCCGACTGGGCTGACACGCGGGGACTTCCTCAGCGCCTGGTGAGATGATGAGCCCAAAGGGTGGACTGCACTGCCCTATGGAGCCTCACGTTTGCAAGTAACGCAGCATCTAACCAGCATTCCTCCCACCTCTGTAAGTCCCAGCTTACCACGTCCTCCCTGAAACCTTATTCTGCTGGCCCCCGCACTCTGAGTATGAAAATGTGTTTTCAGGGCGAGAACTGTGTACCTCAGTCCTGCATCTTCATAATGTGGATGGTTGACAATGGGCCGAAGTGCCGAGAGTTTCACACTCGCCATCGTGGGCATGGCGCCCGCAAACACCGCGTCTGCAAAGCAGGAGCCACTTAGGAGGACACTCAACTCAAAGACGCGGAGCCCAGCTGGAGGAGCTGCGGCCCAGAGAGGCGGTCACTTAACCACCAGGGCAGAGCCAGGGTGGAGTCGGACGGCTGAGAAAGTAGCAGCCGACACCCAGCTCCGTGAGGCCTTCTCCTCGGGAGACAGAGCCTCATCATCTCATATCGAGGGTTTTTGTGTTTTGTTTATTGTAAACATCTTGGGAATCTTTCCTGATTCTAGGAAAGAAGTAACAAACTGACTAAGAAACTTTTATAGAACCAAAAAATTCTGAAGATGATTTCATAGTCAGTCATTTGATACTCGGATGACAACAAAATCTCCCTCTTTAAACATAAAGATCCCATGAGTTCATTTCAAGAAGGAATTTGGCTAAGATTAAAAATTCATGCCGAAACCGGTTTGGCTCAGTGGATAGAGCGTCGGCCTGCGGACTGAAAGGTCCCAGGTTCGATTCCGGTCAAGGGCATGTACCTGGGTTGCGGGCACATCCCCAGTAGGAGATGTGCAGGAGGCGGCTGATCGATGTTTCTCTCTCATCGATGTTTCTAACTCTCTACCTCTCTCCCTTCCTCTCTGTAAAAAATCAATAAAATATATTTAATAAATAAATAAATAAATAAATAAAAATAAAAATTCATGAAGAAAACAAGCATAAAAATTATTTTAAATTGTGGCATGTAAAACTTTAAAAAAGCTGGAATGTATGGAAAATAGCAAAATTAATTACTAAAAAATAAGCCTCGTATTTCCTTTGCAAACCACTTAAGCAAGATTGACACCTTGCCCGGCCCGTGTGGCTCAGTGGTTGAGAGTTGGCCTATGAACCAGGAAGTCATTGTTCCATTCCTGGTCAGGGCATATGCTAGGGTTGTGGGCTCAATTTCCAGCACGAGGCACGCAGGAGGCAGCCGATCAATGGTTCTCGCATCATCGATGTTTTTATCTCCCTCTCCTCCCTTCCTCTCTGAAATCAATAAAAATATTAAAAAAAAAAAAAAAGATTGACATCTCCCTTCTGGATAATCCATGAGCAGCACTGACTAGAAAGAAAGAGTACAGCTATTGGCAGTTACTCGGGTTCAGGGTTTTGCAGTGCATGTAAAATTTGGGAAAAACACTACTTTTCCTTTTACCTGGTTTGGTACTATATTTGATCCATTCTATAAGTTCTTCTTGTGGCAAATTGCTGAATTCCCCTACAATATTCCACTGGGTTTGCAGATTTGCGGAACCTTGTATCGACATTGCTGCTAACAGAGCAAAGACAACAGCACCCGGGTGTACTTTGCAAAAGAGCCATCCAAAGAGCTGAAACCAAGTCAAAGACACATGGGCAGTTAACTGTCAGTAGGAAGCAGCATGTTTCCAACACACACACGCTCTTCCCAGAGAACAACACAGTCTCTGCGAGGCCCCGATAAAGCATGGGTTACCCCACGGAAAAGTTCCAGAAACAGTGCCTTACCTGTCTCGAGCAGATTAGCGAAGCCATGACACACATGTGTGGTGTCAGAAAGAGTTTCAGTCTCATGATTAAAATACCGAGGGCTGTGTACGCGACCAGCTGCAGTGCATGGTACACCAGCTGGAAGGAAAGGAGACAGGTTCACTCCTACTGTCTGTGACGTTTGAGACTATAGCGTCAAAACGGTGGACACACAGAAAAGGGTACTGCTTCTTAGTAACAGCACTTTCATTTCTGAAATAAACAAGCCTTCACATTCACTGTCCAACTTCTCCCCTTTGTATGGGGGCTCAAATTCCGTCACGGAGGCACGTTTCTGAATCTACCTCTTGCTACCAGGTCCCGGCGGGAGCGGCAACCAGAAACAGCTGCGGTTCAAGCTCCCAGCGCTCTGCCCTGGCCCAGCCATCAGAACCGGGTGGGAACGTGCACTGCAGCGTCACTAGCTGCAGGCGCCAGGCTTGTGCTAAGAGAGCAGATCGTAGAGGCCTCATCAGAAGGAAAAAAGGGTAATTCTTGTAACTGAGTGGGGTGGCGGAAGTTAACCAGACATGTTGTGATCATTTCGCAATGTATGTTCATTCGAATCATGTGTTGTAGCTCAAACTATAATATAATGTTATGTGTCAATTATATCTCAATTTAAAAAGAAGAGTAAGAAGGGGAAAACCCAGGCTGAATCACCAGGAGCCGGGAGGAGCAGCAGTCACAGCTCCGAAGCCCGGGCAAGGGGAGCGAGGGGACAGCAACCCCAATCCGCGTGCCTCTGAATGGCTCCAGAAACGAACGCCGCCACCGTGGGGTCTCACAGGGGACCAAGTGAGTTTCCTACTTAACAGTGACCGGTCCCGCTTGTCGCATTCTCAGCAAACACACGCAGGCCTCGTCTACAGATGAGCAGTGACATCACTAATAAACTCAGAAGGTGGGACTAGGAACAAAGTCCAAATATACACAAACATTAAGCCTTTACCTCTCCGTGCTCACACTGGTGGTTTCTGCAACGGGAAAAGAAACACTACTATTAAATCACGGTGGAAGCACTTCCTTCAATTGTTTGCATCTTTATCTTACAAATGTGAGTTTTACAGCTCCTATAACAGTCCCTCAGGGCGCATCTATGTAAAGCAAAATAACTAACAGTGATAAACCCAAGCCGGGGCTGCAGCCCTTTAAGACAGTTTCTTGGGAAAGAAATGGCAATGCTGCTCGTGCCGTAGACTTGACGCCATGGACGTTTATCAGGCCGACGGGACACGCGGGGAGCCAGCCCTCACTGCGGCCGTCCCAGCAGAGCGGACTGAGAGGAGCTCCGAGGCCTTCGGTACCAAACCCTGCCTCCCTCCCCCATGCTCCCTCAGCTCCCCCTGAACTGTAGCTGCTACGGAGACCATTTAGGAAGCCACATAGAAGATTTTTTCAGCAGCATCTCTGGAATACAAATAGCCTCAAAATCCCATCTTTAGCTTTGACAGCTTGAACTTCCCGAGGAGGATGTGTGCATGGAGGCTCACACATCCTCCTCCGACCCCACCCTGAGCCCGCCCTACAGATGCCTTCACAGTCCTGAGAGCAACCTTGAACATGGGAATCCGGGCACGCCACACCCTGCCCAGACCCTCCACTGGGTCCTCCGGTAACGAAGAAACTCAAATCACTAACACGCTGCCCAGCGTCTTCCTAAGCTGGGCCCCACTCCTCATCCTTGGGTCACATCCCCTCTTGATCACCAAGCTCTAGTCACACAACTCATGCTGCTCCTGCCACCCAGAGGCGCCCTGCCCCCCCATTCGGTCCCCGTCCTCGATCACTCCCACATCATCTGTTTTACCGCCTCATACAAGACACACTGTCATGGGTTTATTGACTATCTTCTCTCCCCTACGAAACGAACCCTTCAGGAGGACAGGGTGCAGATCCATCCACACGCTCCATGTCACTGAGCACGGATGACCCTGGACGTGGCGTGGGGAACAAGGTGGGAAATGCCCTTTGCCCCCATGCAGCTTACACAGAAGGGGAAGGAGAGGGAAAGCAAAGGAAGGGGGTCCGGTACTCACATCCCATATTCAATCGTCTCTCCCGCCCGCTCCCCTTCTACACTGGCGTCCGACTCGGGCACTCATGCCCAATGAAGTGTCAGTGCGCCAGCCCTCAAAGCCCTGCCCTGCTCCGGTGACCCCGCTAGCCCCGTGGGCTCTGCAGTTACTTCCGCAGCCAGCGGTTCTCCCAGGGCCGCTCTGCGTCTGGACAGGCCCGCCCTTCTCCTCCAGAGCTGCCTCACAGCTGTGGCTTCGTGTCTTGTCATCTGTACAAACCTTCAAGCTCTTCGGGAAAAACACCGTCTCCAATGGAGAGAAATGTTGGCATTTATACAAGAAGCCTTTCCTGCCCTCCCTCCCCCGCCCCCCCCACCCCCCACCCCCCACCCCCGCCAAAGGCTCCGGGAATAAACACGGCCACAGCCGCAGCCACGGCCACGGCCGTTTCTACAGCCGTTTCTAAATGAGAACGAGGACTGTCTCGGGGTACATGCGACCATTTCTCTCTGGTTGGTAGAAACTCGCAGGTGAGAGAATAAGACTGTGTGTGTTCAAGTTAAAAAAGAAAATACAAACACATAAACTTCACCATCTCTATCCCCGCCCCAAAACTCCGACAAAAGTGTGGACGTCGAATTGAAACTTCCTTTACTCCGCCCTCCAGTCCATGCCCTCAGTCATTAGTTTCATCCTTCCAGATCCTTCCTATGCACAAATGAGTGTACACAATCTTCCTATTTTAAACAAAAGTAGAACCATCCTATATACGGTTTTGTAACTTTGTATTCAATGAAGTGTGATGGAAATATGTCCATGAAGACAGCCAGCACCCATCTATGCCTGGGTCCTAATTAAGCCAATCCCTTACTTGTGGACACTGGGGTTGTTCCCATGGTTCACCCAACACCCCCACCACGCGAATCTCTGTGCATTATCTCTGCGTTGCTGTGAGCACGGAGAGGATGCGCTGGCATGGAGAGAAGTGCTGGCTGGAGCACAGCCGTCAAACTTGCAGAGGTACAGTATTTAAGCACAAATGGTGACGCACGCCGAGAGAATCAGAAAGGGGTGATGGTGAAGAATAACAAGCAAGAGAGAGGAATCTACTCAGGAATGATGGTCAGGGAGGGCTTCCTGAGGAGGTGGCATTATGTAAGGATTAAAGGCGTTGGCCATACAAAAGAGCCAGGCTATGGGGCCGGGGAGGGCAGGTATGGGCTGGGCAGGACCACTGCCAAACCGCAGAGGCAGGGAACCACTGCCTGCTCAGGGGCAGAAAGGGAAAGGAGAATTCGTTCTTATCTCAGTTGCCAGTACTGGGTTATCATTTTTCTTATTTACTGAAATTCTTTATATAAGACTAGAGGCCCTGTGCACGGCATGTGTGCACTGGTAGGGGGTGTGGCCTGTGGGGACTGCCCACTGTGGGAGCACTGCTCATCTCGGTCAGTCGAGCGGCACTCCCACTGTGGGAGTGCACTGACCACCAGGGGGCAGCTCCTGCACTGAGCATCTGTCCCCTGGTGGTCAGTGCACGTCATAACGCCTGGTCGACCAGTCGTTCTGCCGTTTGGTCGCTGGGCTTTTATTATATAGGATGGCCCTTAGTCCCTTGTTCTTATATTACAAATACTTCCCCCAACTCGTCTTTTTCTTTGAACAATGCTTATAATATCTTACCAAACCCAAGTATGTATCTGGACAACCTTGTCATCTTTTCTTCTAGCTTACAGGTTTTTATGTCAGACTTAACAAGGCCTCTCTAATCCTAAAATTAGAAATGTAATCTCTCGGTTAATTCTGAAGTTTCATTTTTTCCCCCTGAATCTTTGTTCCATTCGAAATTTATTTTGCATAGAAAGTGCGGTATGGATCCAGTTTTAAATTTCCCTGCTCTTCTCTGGTCCTGAAACCATCGACAGAATCATAGTTTCCCTGCTAAACCGAAGCACAACACTGTGTCCCTCAGGCACAGACCATGTGCAGGTCGTGTCAGCCTGGGCTGGATCGGGCAGGGCCTGGCGTGTGGATAGGGATGTGCTGGGCTCTGCACAGGTAAGAAATAACGAGAAAAACAAAGAAGGAATGACAACCAGGGAAACGACGATTAGCAAATGTCGGGTATACAACACGGAACTATGCAGTTAACACAGTGTAAGTATCTACTTTATAATAAATGGAGGCAGTAGCAACATTATTAATAGTATATTTACCTTAGATGAGTCTGTGGTTTAGTTAAGACACCCCACATGTCACTAATGATCTGCAAAAAGATTTTAAACACTTTAGAATAGCTGTTTGGGGAAAAGCAGAATTTTAACTAAAGTGTCTTCTGAACTTTCAAACTTTTACTTAAAAGTATGAAGAGAAAACTCAGAAAGTAATCATTACGACGACACAATCTTGCATCTGTAGAGTTCTGGAGCATATCAACACCCGACAACCTGGCAGATCTCACTGTCCTCATTCTGTAAACGAGCAACCAGCTCACTCGGATGGATGAAGCGACTTCCCGGAAGGTGGTGGAGCCTTTTGCTGGGCCTTCAAACCGGTCCTCTGGCTCCCGATCCACACTCAGTGGCTTCTACCCCCCAGGCCTCCTCCTCACACAGACACATGTGACTGAGAATTGCCTTTTCATACTGAGCAGTCACTGGGCGGCCGTGCGGCCTGAAACACCATCCCCGGCACCATGTCCTCTATGCCACTAAATGGGGTTCACCCAGCTCTTGAAGAGCCACCGGCTGCTGCCTGAGTCTATAGCACTTTCCTAATTACTTTGGATCAATTCTGGTCCAAGGTCCTGCCTCCTGGAATTAGCCATAATTCTAAGGAGCCAAATGAATGTAATCTTATTTCCAAGTGGCAGGCTTTTAAATATGTGAAATACTGATCCCCTTTCCAGTGGAATCTTCCTTCTTCAATCAAACATCCCCACTTCCTTAGCCCAACCTGGCTTCGTCACCTGCAGCCACCCACATGGTGTCTTTCCCTGCCTCCTGGGTTGCCGACATCTAGTATTTTTTACTTCCTTCTGGGTGCGGACCCACATAAAGTGCGCAAGAGGCAAAGGAAGCAGAGCCTGGCAGACAGCAGCACTGACTGGCCGCGAACTGATTGGATGTGGACTGGGCTGAGGCTCCAAGCGGGGTCCCGCACACGCAGCTGGGGAGGAAGGTGCGCGGTCCCATCCCCGCTGCCCCTAGCTTTCCCGTGGACATGAGGTGAGGCTGGAGCAACCTCTCTGACCTTCCGATTCCACATCTGTCCAAATGGGGACAATAATGTCTGCGTACCCCACGGGGCTGTCAATTAACCAGCTGAAATAACACACGTGGTATGTTTGGGGGAAGTACAGTACATCATGTGATCGACAATTATAGTGCAGAATATTCTACAAATATGCAGCATTGTGTTAAAACAGACACCGCTAGCTACAGATCAGAATCTATCACCTATTATTCTATTACAAATTAATCTCAATTCATTCTCTTAAAATGCCTACTGTTCCCTCCACCAACTCTTAAAGAAAAAAGAGAGACCATCACACCCGCTCTTTGCTAAAGACTGCAACTTCCCTGCCCTGATCTGTATCTGGGCTTAGAGTTTCAATATCAAAGCCAAGTTGGGAGTCTAACCATTTTATTGAGTTTAATAATATATTGGTAATATTCTATTTTTCCTTTTGATTAATAATAAATCCAATCCAGGAGTTAGTGAACACTGCGCAGATGGCTTACAAAGGCATGTGTTAAAGATTTTAGGAAGCTACTACATAAGAGTTAAAGCAAGTCAGCAATAATTTACACTGGCGGAACCATTGTATCTGGGTCAATAAGGTCTCTTTGATCTTGTCTTTCAAATACATGACTATCAAACCTGAGCCACCCTTTCCCCGGGTCTATTTCCAGCTGGCAGACAGAGGGGTGTTTTAAGGGTTATAAATGTTCGTCCAAGGCTATTAGTGACTGTTGTGCTGGATTAACATGCAGCCCAGCACACTCACCTCCCGGTAGGAACTGGAAAGGCTTTACCCTGAGAAAGAGCTCCTAGTGGCGGACATACCTTCCTGACGATCGCAGCGAACACCACAAGGACCACTGGAAGCAGCAGTGTCTTCGTGTACCTCAGTGGAGTCTGAAATTCACAGGGAGGCTTTGTTAGAAGAAGGTGTTATTTTGAACAGACAAAATTTCATTTCAAATAATGAACTAAGTGAAGGGAAACATGAGCATGCACCCAGCCAGGGCCCAATCTAACCACGGACTCCCATTATACAAATGAAGACGCGTTTCCATAGAAACAAATTTCCCCAAAGTGTTGAACTGAAAACACTAACAGATCCAGTCCTCACATGTGAACGTGTAAAATGTGATGAGAGAGATGACTGTTCACCCTCTGCACCAACTGCCCTAACTACAGGGCCGCCTAACGGTCACCTGCAGTCAGCACGACTCCTTCAAACGGCCCGGGCTTTCCCTGTGCATTTTGTGGGGGAACCTTAGCCAGGCCTGGCTGGCGTGGCTCAGTGGTTGAGCATGGACCTATGTATGAACCTGGAGGTCACAGTTCGATTCCAGGTTAGGGCACAGGCCCAGGTTTCGGGCTTGATCCCCAGTAGGGGGTGTGCAGGAGGCAGCAGATCAATGATTCTCTCTCATCATTGATGTTTCTATCTCTCTCCCTCTCCCTTCCTCTTTCTGAAATCGACAAAAATATATTTTAAGAAATAAAACCTTAACCATGATCCCATCTCTCTCTGTCTCTCTCACACACACACATACACAAACACACACACACTGACCAATATTTACAAAAAGAATAAAACATTTTGGCATTTCCTTTATAACAGATTTTAAAAACTACTGAAAAAACTTCACTAACAAAGCCTGGCACATTGCAATCCTATACACCTTTCAATAATTTGAGGTCACAGTCTTAAACAATCCTGAACTTGAAATGTCTAAATCGCAATTGATTTGCTTGTCACCAACACTTTCCCTCACAAGACAATTCTATACTACTTAAAAAAAGAAACACGTTTCATAGATAATAAAATATCATAAATCAGGCCCACCTGGGTGGTATAAAAAGACACAAATATATGTATGTTTGTTGAACCAAACCAGCTCACAAAGTACTGCAAATTCTATTTTCTATAAAATACCATTAAGATAGCAAAGTGCTTTGCTGTGCACATTGTCTCTCTGCAGCATGCTGCTCATGCCCAGTAGCTATGGTACCAAGAAGGGAGTCATCTGTTCGGGAACATTAGGCGACACTGCAGGCTTGTCTCTCACTCCACTACACCACTCTCTGGTTTCCTTCTAAACATCGGAGTGCAGGTTTAACAGAAAACTGATGTGGGATGAGAACTTGTATAAATCGTATTTCAAAGTAACGCGATCACCCACACACACACCACAAAGCGAGGGCAGTACAGTGTAGGAGCCTGAGCTCCCTGGACGAGTGCTTTGCCTGGAAGAGCCGCTGGAAGGAAGGCCTCTGTGTTTACTCCTCAGGCCGCCGCCTGAGTGCAGGGTTCTGCACTGTTAAGTGAGAGAGGACCCAGAGTCCAGGGAGCCGTACCAATGTCACTGGGACAGCTGCCTCTAAGCTGCCAGGTTGTCCTTTTCCTTCAAACCCAGACGACAGCACAGCGGGCAGAGTATAAATCACAGGAACACCCTTTCTGAAAAACGAGTGAAACACAACCAAAGGGCAGACTAGAAACCCTATCTTACCTCCTTCTCCATGAAGTCAAACTCCGCTGCACACGTATACAGTAAAGTATCGAAATCCTTGTAGCTGAAGAATTTTGATGTTAGTAAGTTGCCAATATGGGCCTAGTAAGGAATAAAACGAGATACCATTAGATTAGGCCATTGATTGTAATAATTCATTTTATTCTTAAAAGTACCTAAAAGTAGTTTTCACTACACGATAGAGCTTCCTGTTCCCATACAGTGAGCTTTTGTTAAACAACAAAGCACTATGCCTCCAACTTCCAGTTCCTTCTTCTTTCACTGACAAGGAAGCTCCAACAGCACCCTGGCTTCCACAGTCAATCATCAGCAAACCAAAGCCTTTTACCCCGGGTTTTCCCTGCTCAGTGAGCTAACCCTGATGCCCTACACTGCACACCACTGCCTGTGCCGAGCCCACGGGACAGGGGCCTGGTGACACACAGACACCCTGTCACCCATCAAAGGACAGCGTGCGACACAGTAAAGGAAAGGACACATCAACTCAGGTTTCTGAAAAGGGACTGGAGACTTTCTGCAAGAAGCAGGAGACGGGCAGGCTGGGAACAGATGCACTTTTCGGACACCTGTGTAACCTTTATGTGACCAAGTGCTCACTCACCTCACCTCACCTCACCTCCCCACAAAGCCATGTGAGAAAGGTAGATTATTTTCACTTAAATGAGACATTTGCCAAACTGCCAATTCCTTATTGTCTTAAAAAGGGATAATGAAGAAAAGGGGGAAAATGACATCTAAAACAAAGCCTAACTAAAATCCCAAGTGGTATCCAGATGACAGGGGTCAGGGTGAGGAGGAACTGAAGGGTGGTGGGGGCACGCGCAACAATTTCAAAGCACTTTCTTTTGCTGGAGAAGAAATGTGTGCCAATGGCTTTAAGAAATCAATAGGAGAACAAATAGCACCTAACACAGCCTAAGAAAACTGTGTCCAATGAAAAGGAGAGAAAATCTAAAGAGTAAGAAAAATAGTTGGGAAATCTCAAATAAAATGCAAGAAATAGGCCCAACTGTAATGATAATTGTCTGCCATATAAATAAAGAGCTTACTTCACTAATTAAAGAACAGCTGCTCAAATTGGGTTTAAGGGGAAAATAATCCAATATTATATTGTCTATGCAAGACATACTTAAAACCAAAGTCTGCAGGAAGGCTGAAAATAGAAGAGAACAAGATACACCAGAGACTGAACCAAAGACGCCAAGGTCAGCGACTATGATGTCTCACAAAACTGAATTCAAGCAAGATGATATGGAAGAGAACGGCTAGTATCATACACTGACAAAATGAACAGCAAAGCACGATCATACCAATCATGAGCATCTTTACATTTAACTGTATAGATTCAGTTTGTATAAAAGAAAACAACCACCTGGCTGGTGTGGCTCAATGGTTGAGCATCAACCTATGAATCAGGAGGTCACAGTTCGATGCCCGGTCAGGGCATATGCACCCCAGGTTGCAGGCTTGATCCCCAGTCGGGGGTCTGCAGGACGCAGCCAATCAATAATGCTCTCTCATCATTGATGTTTCTCTCTCTCTCTCTCTCTCTCCCTCTCCCTTCCTCTCTGACATCAATAAAAATATATTTAGCCTGACCGGTTTGGCTCAGTGGATAGAGCGTCGGCCTGCGGACTGAAGGGTCCCGGGTTCAATTCCGGTCAAGGGCATGTACCTTGGTTGCGGGCACATACCCAGTGGGGAGTGTGCAAGAGGCAGCTGATCGATGTTTCTCTCTCATCAATGTTTCTAACTCTCTATCCCTCTCCCTTCCTCTCTGTAAAATATCAATAAAATATATTTAAAAAAAATATATATATATATATTTAAAAGAAAACAACCTAAAAACTGTAGAGGAAATAGGTAAGCGGACAGTGTTCAATAGAGATGTTAAATATTTACGACTAAAATAGAAAAGGCAGACGAATGTTAATATAAAATCTGAATAATACTACTAATAAGCACACAAACATAAAATACAAACTTCACAAAGAGAGAATGCGTGTTATCCTTGAACAAAAGTAAAATGTTTTCAAAAAAGTTCACATGCTATGCTGTAATAAATTTCAGTCATATAGTACTAATTGTATGTTTTTAATCACAAATACAATAAAATCGGAAAATGATAACTATAAAGGGCTTTAAAAATCCTTTTGGCTAGAAATTAAATAACATAAAACTTAACCTCAAGGTTAAAAAGAGAATCATAAAATAGTTCATTGTAAGAGACACACAAAAAGTCCTGCTTGTATGGAAATTTATAGCTTTAATGTATTTATTAAAATAAGAGAGGCTGAAAACAAAGGAGCCACACACTTTCCCTCAAGCACCAGAAAAAGCTACAGAACAAGCCCACAGCAGCAAGGAGGAGGATGACAGAATCGGTGACAAAGGGAAACACAATAAAGCCAAACAGGTGGTGCTTGAAAATATGAATACATAATATCAATCCAAATCCAAATAGTAATTTAAATAAAACAGAAAAGCCCATTTCACATATATGCAAAACTTCAGCCTGAATCAACACCTAACTCATCTGTCTTCCCCAGTGAGGCGACAAATTCCACAAACCTAGGACTTGGGCTCTCTCACTTTTCTCCCTGCTCCCTGTCCACATCGTGGTAACTCAATCACCTTCTGCTCCCACCTCCTAGCTGGCTGCTAGGAGCCTCCCTGACCCGCTGTGCCTCAGTGCTGGTGCAGCCACACTGTGTCTCCTGCAGCGGGTAGCACTCCTGCAGCCACACTGTGTCTCCCTGCAGCGGGCACTACTCCTGCAGCCACACTGTGTCTCCCTGCAGCGGGCAGCACTCCTGCAGCCACACTGTGTCGTGGCCGCGTGGACTTGCTCCTCTCCCCCACCATTCCATGTCTTATCAGTTTTGTGTCTCTAGGGTGCACTCTCCTGCCAGCCACTCAGCAGGTACACACTGAATGCGTGAACACATTTAGACTACAGGGTTATACTTTTAGAAATCTTTCCAGAGGTTCTAGACCACCCATTAGTAGCCTAATTGTTTTCAATCTTTTTTCAGCAGAAACTTCCCTTGTTCATAGGAACCTGTATCCATGTGCAACGTATAGGAGATGAAAGCTAAACTGCCCAGTGAAAGGGGTCGGGCAAGGGGACCGAAAAGTGATGGGCCCCAGGGACGCGTCCACAGAGGTCCCAGGACTTCAGAGCCCAGTTCCCGAACCATGGCATCAATCCGCTAGCGCAGGACAAAGGACAGCCAATTGCTAGTAAAATAAATTACAGAAAACATGTGGTTTACTTTTACTCTTTCCATGTTGGTTCTTGTGTTTATTCTTTTTAAATTTAATTAACATGCTTACTAAATAGCACAGTAAAACAGCCAAAGCAAAATTATGCTACGAAGGGTCCTTAATTCATGTTATAAAGCAAAATTCTCCTTTTATTTTCCCTCCCAACCCAAAACCCAAACCAAAGCAGAACAACAAAACTCAATAAAACTAACTTGGAATCAATTACATATAAAGGCTCATAAATAAACTTTTCACAAGAACTGACCAGAAAACCGAGGGGAAGAAAGAAAAGACTATATAATATGACCAACAGGTGAAGACAGCACCTTGATTGTGACAAGAGGGGGTTACAGGGAGACCAGGGAGAAACCAGGACTCACGGACCTCAGAACACGCGCTTAGGTCTCTAGAACTTGCGCACCTTAACATTTTATCATTTGGGCGGAAGATGGGAGGAGGGGATTAATAGAGGGGGCGATGGGGGCATCTGCAATATTCTCAACAATAAAGATAAATTTAAAAAATTATCATCTTTGTGATATGGAAAGACCAATATAACAATTCTATCAAGAAATTAATTGTAAAGAATACAGACTACACATAGTCATATTTACCTTCTACTATAATAAATAGGTAAAATAAAGATGAATAGACTTCATCTTGGAATCTGGTTTAAATAGTGGTATTTTAATAACCCAAATAATTTGTTTTTAGCCTGTTTGATTCTTTTCAAGTCTTTCAAGTTTAAGCGAAAATGCACTTACATCATCTGCAATGCCAAAGATTTTAGATGTCAAATACTTGAGTATGACAGTTCCAAATAACCAAAAACATCCTTGGATGACCTTCAAAAGAAAAGCACAACAAAACAAAAACTAGCTGATGCTTTGCATAGCCATTTCAGAGACAGCCCAGGAAGAAAAAGTGCTTTTATCACATGCTAAATAAATAACCGCATCCAAGAGAAAATGTTAAAAAAAATGCACATTAAATTAATGTTCCTCTAAAATCCAGGGGCTATCACTAAAAATATAGACATATAACTTATTATAAAAAGTAATATACTATACAGAAGATATACACAGCAATTGTAGTTAAAGTCCCCCTCTACTAACAGTTTCCTACACATGCACCATGCCTCAGGAAAAAACATGGACAATAAATAAAACTGGAATTCTTTAACTACCTATCAAATATAAATCTTAAATTGGGTCATGAGAGGGCAATTTGATACCTGAAATTGAGCCCTAATGTGTAATAAAACTGTTAGATTGCCTGGATTGCATAGATCATTTCGTTAAAAGTAAAACATAAAACCTATGGCATATTTTAGAGAGGGAAAATATATGTATTGAAATAGATTGATTCTTACCCATAAACTAAGTTCAGATACATTTATTTTGAGAAAATGTGGTTTCATTGCCAGCACACCCTACATGGAGAAAATAAGATAGCATACAGTTAATACGTATAAATCCAAGTGCCAGAAAATACTTCTAAATAATAAGACTCGCAAGACTCTAAAATCCAGCACACTGTCAATGTTCCACATAACATCACCACAAGCTCACTGACTTCAAGAACTAGCCCATTTTAACCAAAGTAGATTAGGTCAGTTAGCGACTTTGTAAAGAATCACCATGTATTAATTTTTATGAATGATTTTATATCTCTGACTCACCTAAGAATCAAGAAGTATAAAACAAATTCAGAATTTCAGACAGATGCCTTACAGTCATAAGATTTTTCTTAAGTTAAATATTATTAGCTCTTAGGATAAACACGTCCAAGTCCATGATAGACTCCAAAAATATAATACCCTATCGTGATCCAAATCTACTTCAAACTTGGCAAAAATATGGTTAGAGATCAAAACATAAACACATGAACCCAAATTAAATCTTTTCAGAAGTTTCAGAATATCTGCAAACAAGTTTCAGAATATCTGCAAACACAAAATGTGTTAAGATTCACGTTTCAAAGTGATAACTATAAATAAAAATAGGCAAATGTTTGTTTATGGTTAAATATGCAAAAACATGCTATATTCTGTAACTGTTAGCATTACGTGTTTTTATACAACAAAAATGTGAAACATCTATACATAAATACGCATCATTCATACCTACGGCACCCCTCAATGTCGAGCACCCAGTAGGAGACCCAACACACTGCAGTGCTCAACTGAACGAAGAGAAGTTCCCTGCACTTGTGCTTAGGGGAGATGTGACTGGCATGCATCTTCCGTTCAACTGCTTCCCTGGGCACAAGTGTCAAGAGTCATGTACTCAGCCTGAGTGACAGCAGGACTCGCCCATGCACACATGTAAAATAGAGAACTGAGCACGTTTTCACATTTCCCAATTACACACACAATTCACTAACCATAAGAACTATCTTTAATCTCAGCACAACAACTCAGCTAATGAGGTTTTTTATCCTTGTTGGAAACACAGCATCACCTCATGCTAACTGCTACTTTCTGTGACTACGTATCCTCAGGCCACACAACCTGAAAGGGTGTTGGTCCAGATTGGAGAGAAGCAGACCTTGGGGAATAAGATCTTAAATAAATGTTACTTGTAAAATGAGACAAAGAGATAGGAGGTTCCAATGTGCTAATGGGTCCTAGAAATCCAGAAAGCCAGAATGCCCTGCACCTTAAATGATTATTCAAGAAGTAGAACACGTTTCATTTAAGACAGGACAATATGTGCTGGTCTTCCAGAAACCTACCTAGACTACACAGAGGAACAATTTCTTCCTTCTTAGGGTTACAAAACTCTGTATGGGGGAAACCCATTGATAAAAAAAGGCATAACCCCCTCTGAAGTCCTTGCATTCAGGAAAATTTATATTTAGAAAGCCATCTGACCAAAGTGGCAGGGGAGGTAGGTGGCCTTTCCGTTTGCTCCAATTCCCTACCATGGTGTCCTGATCATCTAACCCTGTGGTGATCTAGCAACTCTAACTGAATTACCACTGATTTAAACTACCTGACTATTTCATGCAAATCAACACGGGAAAACCCTAACACCCAAGGCGTCGAGCCTCTGATCCCGTGGAACAAGGAGGAGAGACTGCTGGGAGAAGCCACAGGCAGGAAAGGGGGTCAGAGAGGGAAGCAGGAATCGGATAAAAACCAAAAAGGGGAGAGGATGACAGGATAAAGAAGAAATTCACCCTGGGACCAACGCTCAGGTGACAGAAGAGATGAGGAAGGAAAAAGGGCACATTAGACAATGAAGCAAGTGCCATGCTTTCCAATAGCAACCTCTGCTGTGCTTCTCTCCTGTCCTGGAAGTGAATACGTGGGTGTTCTATGCACTAGGTGCTTCACTGAGATGCTTCTTACAGAAAATCCCTCACAAATCCCAAGCCGGTGATAAAGAAATGGATAAACCATTCATTTCAAAACAGCATGTACTTAAAGAACACTTACCCAAATAATCACCAAAGAGGAAGCATAATAAGAAGTTAATAACATTGAGTTTCCAAACATCAAAACAAAACAAAGTGCAAGAGAAATCTGGAAAAATCCAAGAAAAATATAATTAATGCACAAAGAACAAAATAAAGTTTTATTATTATCCTGGAAATTGCACATGCCCACGATAGACAAAATTCAAACTGCTCAAAAGGGAACACAGCCCAGGCCCTAGGCCACACCTCGAAACCAGAAAGGTCACCGGACAGGCAGAGCTCAGCAAATGCACACCCTCGTCATTTCAACAGAAGGCCCCGGATAATGACGTTCTGTGTTTCTCTTTAATGAATTATCCCTCTTACAGATAACATGCAAGTCAGGCACAGCCTCAAATCAGAAAATATGACCTAACTTAAAACTGCTGGGTGGCCTATTTAAAACAGGCCTGTTAATTATGTCACCGTTTCTGAAAGACACTTGTTTTAGTTATAGAATCATGGAACGACCAGTTTTAACATAAACAAATCAAATACTAATCAGGAGTTTGTTTTGAGGTCAAACTCAAGGGGAAAAAAACATTTAAAAACCATTACCATATGTATATAAATGATCTTCCGTAATTTGCATATATCAATGTATCCCACAACATATACTGTGAATAATGATGCAATCTGAAATTGAAAAAAATTAAGTTAAAAATAAAAATTATATATACAATGAATAGCTGTAAGAATAAAAAAGGATCATTTTTATTGTTGTTTCAAATTGATTTTTATTTATTTTGAAAGCAAGTTCTTTACTTTCCCTCTTACCTATCAATTTATTATTGAATATGGTGAATATATTAATATAGCAAACATTGGTTGATTTTTCTTTTCCATACACAGCTTTCTCAATTAACCATTTACATGATCTACTCTGTGGGTTAACCAAAACAATACTCTGATGTCAGAGTTACTCTATTGTCAACAGGTAAAATTACAAAGTGCCTTGCCCAATCAAAAAATATTAAAATTTAATTAAAACACTATGATTAGTACATAATTAAAGAAGTTACATTAAACTCAAAAAATAATTATGTAATGCATGTGTGTATAACACATTAAGTTCTGTTTGTTAGTCATGCTTTACAAATATCTCTATTAATGTTTTCTTTCATAAATATTCAAGTGTTAGTTATCAAATTTATCAAATTTCAAATAAGAAGTACTTTCACTACAAAGGTATTTTAACTTTCTTTATAGTTTTGAGGAAAACTGTATGTAGTTACCAAGAACTCTGAGATACCGGGGTATTTCGAGGAACTGACTGAGCAGGGAAAGCGCACCTCCAGGAAAGTACAGCTATTATTCAAATGATGCCTCTCCACCCTCCTTCCTGGAGAAAGGAATTCAAATGGAATTCCATGCTCCTCCCACTAGGCAAACAGGGTAAAAGACTGCAAACAGCCAAATACTTAAACACATGACGTAAGTTCCATTCATCAAGTGGTTTATCTCCAAAGAATCTACAACAAATTGCCTATTAGCAAGAAAACCAAGGTTCCCTTCACCAGGTTTGTCCCCTGGAACACTGTGCTGCCTGAGTGACTCACACGACCCAGTGACAGTGGAGAAGAGGGGGTGGGAGGGTGGGGGACCCGCTCTACAAGCGAACCTGACCTTGTTCTACAGACCTCTGTTTGAAGGAAAGGGAGACGAGCGCATGGAAAGACGTGATACACAGATCACAGGTCGAAGGGGAGTTCCATAAAGCACAAACTGTTCAGCTACCCACCCTATGTTATCCTATGTTTATCTACTCCAGGTGTAAGAATGCACAACTATTCATAAAGAAATGCATTCACCTAAGAGAAATACCTAAAGTTAGAGCCCCTGTCCTCTTTAAACACTAACAAATAATAAATAACAGTGATAGGCATTCCTACAAATGTGAGTTCAATCAATGCATTTCACTAGTGATAAATAATTAACACCCATTATTAGTAAATCTTACGTAGTCCCCTACTCTGAACTTGGTTTAAAAGGATTAACAAAAAACATCCTAGACTTAGAATCGTATAAGTCTCAGTTCTACAATTGTATACAATGAGTGCGCATGATTAAACACGCCACGCTCAAGTCAGTTTAGAGAACTAAGCACTTACCTGAGTCAGAAGTACGAACTGAGCGAACTGCCACGGGAGCATGAAGAACACATTGGAGATGCACAGAGCAATCAAGCTTCCTCGATAGAGTTTCGTGGCCCTTGAGAGGATGAATAAGGATCAGTGAGTTTAACAAGCATTCAAGCGTGGCTCCCAACTGCTGCAAATTAGAATCTCTAAACACGATCTGGTTCTAGCATAAAGTGGGCAAAGTGAGCCAGTGGGTTAGAAATTATGCCTCCTGACACTCAATTACAACAACCTTCTTTGAGAAGTAAATACCCATTATTACTATAAAAACAAAGCCGGCCGGAGCGGGAGGCAGCTGGGTCGGCATAACCACTGAACTTTTCCTAACTATGTTTGGCAAATTCTTTTTTTTTTTAAATATATTTTTATTGATTTTTTACAGAGAGAAAGGGAGAGGGATAGAGAGTTAGAAACATCGATGAGAGAGAAACATCAATCAGCTGCCTCTTGCACACTCCCTACTGGGGATGTGCCCGCAACCAAGGTACATGCCCTTGACCGGAATCGAACCTGGGACTCTTGAGTCTGCAGGCTGATGCTCTATCCACTGAGCCAAACCGATTAGGGCAATGTTTGGCAAATTCTTAATCAAAGACGTGTAATGCCCTCAGTAGACCCATTCGGAGAGACCGGGGGCCCTGAAAGAGCACAGGAGCAGCACATTCAGTGCTCGGGAGTCTGCAGGCAAGTCCTGCAGGGACTCAGGCTGAGCAGCTGGCGGGGGGGAGGGAGAGACACTGGGGAGGACGTGGGAGAAAAGCAGGCCCTGCTCAGGTAGGACACGGACAAGAGAAGAGGACCCAAAGGCGGGGTCGCTCAGAAGCCACCTGTCCATGCCTCACTTTGGTCCTACTTGTAATTTAGGATTTTTAGGAGCGTGAAGTGTTTTTATCTTGTAGGTTAGTTTTAAGAACTACTTTCCTCCTGAAACGGTGAGCCAATGCAAAGCTCCAACACACCTAACATCCTCACAAAGTGAAGTGTCCATGTTAGCATCCTGAGGCCACAAGGTGTGCCCCTGACAGAATGAGGAACCCTTAGGACAGGAGGTGCCCTGCCCATCTTTCTTATGCCCCAAGCACCCCTTCCCCAGAGGACCTGCCTCTGTGCTCTGCTGTCCAACTCTTTCTTTCCAGCCTGCCCCCAAACGAGCACTGAAGGATCCAGGTGACCACTCCTCAGTTACCAAATTGACTTATTAGGTAAGAACCAGCAATAATGGAGTAGAGGGGAAAGAATAGATGTGATGGCGTCCTACATAACAAGGGTTCCATTCCATGAAACTGGTTTACGTTGTCTGTGTTCACTCATGTCTGGGTGTAGCAGGTCACAAGGTGACATGTGGTTCTTCTGTTTGTAGAGAATAGTCAGAAGATGAAAGCATTTTCCCACTACCTTTGAACTCCACCTAGCATCGGCATCCTCTTAGTTATGTTATATTGGTTGTTTTTATTATGAAAGATTAAAAATTCTAGCTGCAGTTACTCAATGCAGAAGAAAAACAGTCAGTTACCTGAGAATGTGAGTCACGAGCAACATCTGAAGCACGAGGAACGGGTAGGAGAAGCTCTCGCGGAGCGGCGGCGTCCACATCACGCGGGTGCACTAGAGAGAATGCACAGCGTGAGGCGTGCTGGCTACACTTGTGGAGACATAGCGGGTGAGAGCTGCTGTTTCTACGCACAGAGAGGTTTGTTCACACGTAATTTAAATAGTGCGTTGTCAGACATGCTACCAACTTTCCACCAACAGCAAAACTGGGACGTGGGAAATGTTAGTGAGCAGGAGACACACAGCACAGATCCCGTGAAATATTAACATCGTGAAGTGTCAACAACAAAGAGCCAAACACTTCACCTTTCAGTGCTTCATTTTAATGTACATCGGAATGTTATCATTTACTGCTTATCTGCCATACAAGAATATTCTAAGGACTATGAGACTATTTTCAAAGTGTTCTGAGAATTTCTTTCCAAATCTTATATAAATAACTATGTCAATAAGTAATCAGAAATAGTACATCTATATTAATATTTTCATCTCAGTTCAGTTAAAAATATTTAAGAAACTAATGCAGGTCAGAAAAATGTTACAGGTAACAAAAAAGGTAATTAGATATGCCTCTAAAGCAATCCCTTTACTTTGAATTACTTTGGTTTAAAAGATTTTCCTTTTCATGTGTGCATATCTTTACATCTGTGAACATGGTTTATAAAACAACATCCGTCATGATTGCGAGTAAGTTTTTAAATCTCATCACGAAAAAAACAAAACAAACCTATTTCACATGTAATAAATTCCTAACAGTCAAAATTGGGCAAAAATATTTATTTATTTTTTATACACTGATCTCAATGCTGTTCAAGCGCATCATGCTAAGGGTCAAGCATGCCGCATACATGTATCGCACATGAGGAAGCATCTAAAGCAGGTGGGAGCTTGCATCTTAGCAGTAGCTCTGAACAGGGACAGGATCAACACTGGAAAAACCTAGAAGTCATCTGCGTAATTTTATTATGAAATGTATAACTTCAATATTATCGATCATTACTCTCAGCAATGATCCTTTATTGAGTTTTCATGTTTCGGATTTAAATTTCTGTTTTAAATAATTGGGTTAATCCTTTCACATTATACATTTTATAGTTCTTTTCTGCAGGCAAAAATTTTCCCTTGTAAAAACCATCTGAGAGAAAGATTATTTTTAAAAGTATGTCATATACTATCTTAGACTCAAGTTCAAAGCAAACTAAATAATGGAAATAGAACTTAAAAGCCAGGAACAATTCACAACTATTTTCTGGCACATAAACCACTCGCTTCCATGATTAAAATAGCTCTGCTAGAAAAGAAGGGCACCGATTAGCAGGCCCCCAGCAATCCCAGGGGGCAGAGCACGTGACCCTGTGGGAAGTTCACTAACTGCAGGGACAGGCACGGCTGGAGTAGACACCCCTCCCCACACAGCAATCCTACACTTTAGGCAAAGTATTTAGAAGTCAGAAAAAAAGGGTCTGAGAAATCTCACAACCTGAGAAATAAAATTATAATAAAATAGTCCTCAGTTCCTTGAGTTCTCACCAGTATTTTACCCAAAACTTCAATGTACGCTCTCAATTTTAATATATGTCATTACTCAAAATGGTCCTTTTCTACTCTAAGCTACACTTACTGGTGTGAGTACAATGATTTCCTTGACCATTTTAGTAAAACCACAATTCTAATCACATTGAGTCACCTTTTCCTAAGAAGAAAGTGATAGCTAAGCATAGCTAAATAAATATAGCAAGTAGCTGAAAAATGAAAAATCTATCCACCTGAAAGATGAACTGAACAGTCGGACTGCATCGTTCAAAACCAGAAAGACCTTGTAAGGAATGATGCTCATGGTCTCTTGAGTATCAAAATTATATGAAGAACAGAAGGTCCGGAATTAACCCCTAACACTGAGGTGACCAGCAGGCCTTTCAGCCTGACAGGCAGCACTCTTCAAAACTTGGTTTCGCATGTTCCCATTGTATTGAATCTCTTGGGTGACACTGTTAATAACATTGTATGGGTTTCCGTGATCCCTGCCTGCAGCATCTACGTGAACTCTCAGTGCTCCGTGGCTGGCAGTCGCTTCCTGTTTCCTGGTCATGCGCACAGAAGCTGTGCTTTATGTTCCATGGCCCATCCTATGACACTGAGCAGCATCCACCGTCAAAAAGAACCAAATAATTCCTGGTTTTTGCTCAAAACACAGACCAAACCAATTAATGGATGTTTGTATTGTAATCATCAGTCAAATGCTCTACCCCATAAGATCACTCCAGCTTTAAATCTCTGTGATTCTAAATACTAACCATGCGTTAATTCAATATCCATTAGTAACCCACTCAATATTTTATAAGTTCAACCTTGACAGCACTGTGAAGTTCAGAGTGACTCCTGGTTGAGCTTTCGAAGATGCATTTTCAAAGACTGCAGCCACTAGTGTATAAACTCAAAAAGCAAGCTGACCTCTCTCTTTCCTTCACACAAAACTTAACATGAAAGAAAACTGGTCAGAGGTACATTACTAGGAATTCAATTACAACTCTGAGCTAGTGAAAGGATTTCACTGGTACCCTGAATTTACGTTACACTTTAATCTAAACTAAGTTACTAATAATAATACAGACTAACAATTATAGAGCAGTTACCATGTGTCAAAGATGGTCGTAGGCACTGTACACATATGATTCATTTAATGCCCCCGATAATCCCATGAATGGGGAACACCATTATGCCCAGGTACGAAGAGGAAACGCAGGCAAGTGAGAGGATATGATGTGTCCAGGCCACAGCCACCAAATGGCAGAGCCAGGATCTGAACACCTGTGGGCAGGATCCAGAGTCCATGCTTTCTACAAAGCTGTCTCCTAAGAAAGCCCTTGGGCATGTGAAAATTTATAACTAAGATAAAACACGAAGGATACTTAAAGTCTATCAAAGCTTATTATAAATACATTAAAACAGAAGTGTGTGATATAGCTCCTATAAGTTATCCCCACACCAGGAAGTTAACTATGTCCACGGCTGGCTATGTCGGAAACAGCTACACCGTGAGCTTTCAGTTTGAAGTTATATAAAGCATCGATAGAGACCCATGATTTCTTCACCACTAACAGATGTAGCACATAAAAGCGACCATGATGATGAAAAGCTAACTTACAATAAATGCTAGTGTTTAAAATTTGAATCAAAATAAGGTCAAACATTTAAAGAATGCTATTGTAAATTGTAAAGACATTAAATTTTAAAAAGAAACCTGCATTTCAATAAGTAAAATTTCCTAAAATTTTAAAAATATTCGACTATCATAGAATAAACTTTGTATTTCTGGAAGTAAAATGCCCCAAGGATTTTGAAAATATCCTGGAGACCGCCTACCTCTCCGTGATTGAAGAAGAAGCAGAGCACCGTGACCAGGCCTCCCAACCGGCTGCCGCTGCAAGAGGAGAAAACGTGCTCAGGTCACAGAACCCAGGCCAGGCCCAGCCCACCCTGCAATCACATGTGTGCGTCCATCCTTCCAGATCCTTCTCTGACCCATTACCAACATAGTTTAACGTGATCATACTATTAACATGCCTCTGGAATTGGTTCCTTTTCTAATTAATTTATCATGAAGATCATTCCTAATCAATACATGTAACCCAAGGCACTCTTCTGAACAGATGTCAACTATCACACAGTATAAATGAATGCAATTTGTCCCGCCCTTTTGTTACTGGACAGATAGATATTTTTCAATTCCTTGCTGTAATAATTTTAAAAAGTTCAAATAAACACCCTTATACGTAAATGCTGGTGCTTTCATTCTATAGCAGTGGTTCTCAACCTTGGCTGCACATTAGAATCACCTGGGAATCTTTTTAAAATCCTGATTTCTGGGTCTCATCCTCCAGAAATTCTGTGTCTTTGTTACTAATGTTGTGGCCCCACCCCATAACAAAGAAACAGAATTTCCGGAGGATGAGGCCCAGAAATCAGAATTTTAAAAAGATTCCCAGGTGATTCTAATGTGCAGCCAAGGTTGAGAACCACTGTTCTAAAGGATAGACCTAACTGTGAGCCGGCCAAGTCAAAGAATGTGAACTTTCCAGAAAACGCCATACCATCCCTCCCCCTTCTCTGTAACACAGATTGATGGGCCCGGGCCTGCCCCACTTGGCCATCACACGGTGGGAGCGCTCCCTCGCTGGTGCTGTGAGCTGTGCTTCCTGCCTATCACACAGCTTCATCGCAGTGGGGCTGGCTTTTGTTTGGTTTTGCTTGACAAGGTGCATTTTCTCTTCTGTGAGTCGCCTGTTCACAGTCTTGTCCTTTTTCTATTGGATGGTCTGCTTCCCTCATTAAAGATTAGGGAAATCATTTTCTTTTATCATTTGTGTGACAAAGTCTCTTGGTATAATTTATGGTGTATTCTACCAGAAACCTGAATTTTATGTAGTTCATTTTGTGTAGTGAGATGTCAATATTTTCCTATGATTCTTCTGCATTTCCTGTCTTCCCCACCTCGAAATCCTTTAGTGTTCCACTATAATGCAGGTTATGGTGCAGCACCTCCCATGAGTGCAGACAGCTCTGCTTCGCTGGCCAGGGAGGCGGGTTTCCGGGTGCACTTTTCGCCCTGCCTACCTACAAGAAATGCTGCGTTACCAGCACTACGACACGACGTGACTCCCAATCATTCCACAACGTGCCCCAGCACCTCCTCTCTCCCTTCTGTCCTTAGAGAATACCACAGGGGTCCTTTTATTTTGCTACATAGAAAAGATGTCTAACTAGAACACTTAAAACTGATTTTCCCCCATTACGGTTGATCAGTTGATATTTCAGCATTCCCTAGTGGTTAAAAAAGTTTCTTTTGCAATATGACCACCAACTGTCAGAAAATGCAAAAGCTGCTGTGGTGCAAATTGTAAAGCACTCTAAGCTTGCTAAACATCTACCACTTTTGCTCACACGTCTCACTCACCTTCTGAGCCTCGAGTGCATTAGATATAAAATGAGGGGGTAAGAATGTAGATGCTTCAGTTCTGACGCTTAATAACTTGATAATTTTCTTTTTTCCTACACATTTCGGTGACATGGATCCAAAGCGATCCATCTGCACCTGACCAGCCACGTGACCTCGGAGTTACTTATGTCCTTGTGCCTCAGTTTCCCCATCTATAAAATGGTTAACCGACCTCACAGGCTAACCCTAAGGATGAATGAGTTTATGACAGTGAAGAGCTTCGGCTAGAGCTGGGTACACAAGTGCTATACGTGCATTTCTTCAGTGAACACCTAGCTCTAAGGAAAGAGTGGAATCTACAGAGGGAAAGCTTCAGGTGAGTCTAGTGAAAAAATATTTCCGGAACTAGAATGCCAATGAAGTTTATGTGATAGATATATATTCTTACTGTGCCTTTGATATATGGCAACCCTGAGCTCAGTTTATTTATTCACTTCATTCAATTAAAAAATGTGTTCTGAGGGCAGGCATTCTTCTAGTGTCTTGCAAACATTACCTTATTCTATTCTCACATAGAAGACGGTGTCTCCTAACTCACTAGGTCTCCTTCCTACCCAATCCCTTCTGAAACATTCTTCTATATATAACTTCCACTTCAGTTAAGCTGATAAACACTTCAACCCCATGGTACAGCCCTGAAAGACCTTTGTTGCTATAGATATAGATATAGATGATATAGATATAGATATAGATATAGATATAGATATAGATATAGATATAGATATAGATATAGATATAGAGATAGAGATAGAGATAGAGATATAGATATAGATAATAATGTAAAGGCAAACCAAAGAACTGGCAGTAACTCTTGCTTCCCACATCATTTACTCAAATTACATAAAAACTCAATGTTAACAGGTTCCACCTGACTCAGAGCTTCCATAAAGCTGCCCTCCAGCCTTAATCACAACAGCCTAGGACAATGGACAGCTAAGGACACTCTGCAGTGGGTACTGTACCTTCAGCCTTTGAAGCAACGGTTATAACAGGCACTTAAGGAAATTATACTGAATGATGACTTTAATAAATGCACAGAAATCCTTCTTGCAATGAAAAAAGAGCATGGCTATAGATTAGCGACTCAGCAATAATGTCATTTCCATATTTTAACTTCTCTTACTTAAAATCTAATCTCCCAAATGTAATAAAGCCATCCGTAAGACAGATGGGCAGTGCTCGGCAAGAGCACCAAACGCCCAGCCTCCCCTCCTTGCTCCCAGGACACACGGCACGCTGGCTTTGCTCCCCGCGAGTCAGCCTGTCCTCCTGGTCAACTTAACTCTGGGTTAAGTTGTCTCGTTTCAAAAACAAAATTTTTCACACATTTAAATCATGTATTTTCATTTCAGTCTCTCCCAATTAAATCATTAAAAAGACGTTCTGAGACTTAAGTCAGAAATCTTAGCATCAAAGTATCTTCAATCTATATGCAAATATATTCTCAACTGATCTACCTGCTACCGCATTTGATAAAAATTTTTGAGTAGCTGCTGTATCCTCAAACACTGAGCTAAGAACTCAACAGAGGCACTAACATGAAAAGCCACACTTGCAAAGTAAAGCAGACAATGGGAGAATAGCGGATTCAAACCCATGAACTCAAACTGAAAAGCACACGTATACTATGCTCATACTTCTGTCATACGAAGAATCAGCAAGCAGGAAAAAAGAATGTTCTAAGGATACTCTCATGGTAAAATAGTTCAATAAGTAAATAGCGTGGAGATTGGTCAAAAAAGAGAGCGATAAATAGAAAAACCCTTAGAAAATGCTCAATCTTTCAGTTTTAGGAATGCTGCTCAATTTTAAAAAATATATATTTTAATGATTTTTTACAGAGAAGAAGGGAGAGGGATAGAGAGTTAGAAACATCGATCAGCTGCCTCCTGCACACTCCCTACTGGGTATGTGCCCGCAACCAAGGTACATGCCCTTGACTGGAATCGAACCTGGGACCCTTGAGTCCGCAGGCCGACGCTCTATCCACTGAGCCAAACTGGTTAGGGCAGGAATGCTGCTCAATTACTAGTAAATCAGGTCGGATGGTAAATACCTGCACAGAATATATTCCTAGTTTAACATTAGAAAAGGAAGAGCCACTGACATCACCTGGTAATGAGTGGTCCTTCCCATTACATTTTATGTAAATAACACATATTGCTTATGCTCAAATGCTTACGAATACCTAAAATGTATCGCATAAGCCCACCAGGTTGTATTTAAACCTCTAATGATTTTCAGTTTGGCTGGCCATGACAATGGTGAAATCATCCAAATGGGAAGTAATTTTATATCTATAAGCAGATATATCAGAAATGGCATTTTTATAAAACTGAATCACATTTTAATGCTACTCTCACTGTTTAGATTATTCTAGTAAACATTATTAAAACACAAACTAAAATATTCCCAATGAACAGTCTTACCTTAAGTATGTGCCATAAATGAAGAATAATGCCATCATCAGTCCATTTAAAAGAAAAATGACAGCAACATAAAAGCAAGCAGGATCTCCCAATCCTTTAAATGAACAAAACATATGCTCTAGAAATTACTTCATGCATCTGGCAGTTTATAGTAAACATGCTTATTTTGAAAATGGTTGCCTTGGTTTCCATCCATACACACACCATTACTGCGGACCTCAGATGGAAGGGGAACAGCCGTGGACAGACACTCCTCGTGTGGGAGTACGGGGTCTCCCCCCAGCTTTCGGGTCTGCCTGGGCTTGTGACTACTTCAACAGAGAACGCAGAAGCCACACTATGTGACTGCTGAGGCGAGGTCCCAAGTGGCCACCCTGAGGTGCACGCTATACAAAAGCCCAGCTGCCTGGCAAGGGAACATGCAGGCGCCCCAGCTGAGCCCAGCCTCGCAGTCACCGCGGCCCAGGAGCCAGAAGGAAAGTGTAGCAGCCCCCCCAGGTGACACCAGTCTTCCCAGCCATTGGGGACTAGCTGAGGCCTCTCACATCAGGGAAACGGACCAGCCCTGCACCCCCACCCATATCCTGACTCCTCACATCCGTAAGCAGAATAAAATGGTGGTTGTTCAGACCGTACGTTTGGGTAAGTCTATTGGGCTGCAACAACCTACTGGACAAGGTCGCAGAGAGAAACTTGCCTTCACAGCTCTCGATGGGACTGAGTCCTTCCCCTCTGGTGACCGTCCAGCAGATCTTGGTCTGAATGCCAATGAAGTCCATTATTTTGGTATAAATTCGGTACCAGCTGGCTAAGATGACCTAATTTTTAAAAAATAGAGACATTATGAGGAAAGATATTAGCCTCTAAAGTTTCATTACTGGAATAGTTTTAAGATACTTGATCATTGTCCAATTTTCCCTTCCGGTACCATCTACTGGGCATCTCTGAAGTCTACTAAGATGAGTCTGACACTCCCCAACACAGACTCCTCGCTGGTCAGTCCCAAACACTCACCCACCAGCAAGAATAAAATATAACCAGAAACATGCAAGATTTATATGGTCAAGAGCTATAGAACTACTGAGGAACATAGTAGAGTTGAACAATCAGAGAGATGTCTTCCTGAATAGATCTAATTTTTTGAGATGTGAATTCTCCCTCAAATTAATTCATACACATAAAACAACACTAAACAAATTTCAAGTATCTGTCAGGAACTTTTATCTAGAAGAATTACAAAAAGGAGAGAACTGAAGAGACTGTCCTAACACACATAAAAGTATTTCTTACAATTAAAATAGTGTGATCCTGGCACAAGAATAGCCAACAGATCAAAGCACCCCATGTGGGTGGTGGACTGCCACCCAGACCTCCAGGCCTGTGGCCCTCCCGCCCCAGCAGCTGGGAGGATGGTAGCTGGCAGCTCTCAGCTGAGTCCCTCTCTGGGAACTACCCTCTGCTAATGCGTAAATTCACTAACGGTCACCCTCACTGCCCAAGGACAACTACAGCCTTTGACTGACTAGTCCCAGAGCCCTTGCCTCCAGGTAGGACAACTGTGCAGAGCCCTCCCAGCTCCAGGGCTCCCATGGGATTGGCTGCTGTCTTTATAGCGACTGCATCACAGCCCAACTCCTCCTCCTGCCTAATCCTGCTTCCTTCTTCCACCTCCTGGCACTGACCCTAAGGGCATCCCTTCCACACACGTCCCGCAGGAAATCTCAATCTCAAAGTCTGCCTCAGGACCGCAACCGAAGGCCATATTAAATACAAAGTCCAAACAGAAGCAAGTGCCCTAGCTGGTTTGACTCAGTGGATAGAGCATCAGCCTGCGGACTGAAGGGTCCCGGGTTCGATTCTGGTCAAGGGCACATGCCTGGGTTGCAGGCTCGATCCCTAGTAGAGGGCGTGCAGGGGGCAGCCGACCAATGATTCTCTCTCATCATTGATGTTTCTCTCTCTCTTTCCCTCTCCCTTCCTCTCTGAAACCAATAAAGATATATGTAAAAAATAAAAACAAAAACAGAAGGATAAACGTACAATAATGTTGTGTATAATGAATGTGGGGAGAAGATGGAGCACACATCTAAGTGGTAGGTCACACAGACGACCACTGTGGAAAAACATTAGACTCTACCCCACACGACACTGAAACAAACTCCAGATAAACTAAAAATGTAAATCTTAAAAACATAATTGTCACAATTAAAAAGATTTTTTTAATATATGAATAAAAGAAAATAATAATTAAAACAATTCACAGATATAATACATACACATCATGCACAAAGCTAAAGGCTAACAAAAAGCTGGGGAAAATGTTGTATCCATATAACATAGTATTAACGTTCTCCACATAATGAATGAGCTCTTATAAAATTCCAATGGCAATTTAGACAAAGGGCATGAAAATGCACTTTTTAAGGTGTAAATGCATTTTTTTTCCTGTAAATTCATACACACACAGAGAGAGAGCAAAGGATTATTCACAGTAGCAAGGACTCAGTAAACAAGAATTCTCAAAAACACTGCCAGGGGAATTTCAGCTGCTGTAACCTACCTGGCAAGCACTTTGGCGACATGTACAACCATTCAAATATGTATTCTGTTAAACTCAACAGCTCCACATCAACAGGTTACAGTGTAAAAAATAAGGATATGTGCAAAGACTGAGTTCAAAATGCTTACTGCAGTGTTAGGGTATTTTAAACAGTTGAAAACAAGCAGAATTTTCATAAAAGATGAACTAAATAAACAATGGTACATTGTGCACACAGCCATTAAAAAGGATGCTATGGAAGAGAAGATGACATGGGAAATGGTTATAAATAGTCTTAAAAGACAAAAGACATTTATTTTAAAAACACGTGCCATGTGATCCCATCTTTCTTGGATCCTCTTTCTGCAGAAGCAAATGTGCATATGGTTATAGAAAGGCCTTGGGAAGCAGGAGAGCACTGAGCCGGGGCGGTTTACCGGCCTGTCTGCCCATCCATCAGCCGGGCTAACTCCCTGACCTGCAAGTTCAACTCCTCTCACTCACTGGGAGACGAGCGGGAGCCCCGCTCGGTACTGGTACTGAGCCAGCCAGGGCTCGGGGCCCTGCAGAGACCGAGGCCTCCGGCGCTGGCATCAGGCCCATTATAGCGCCCATGCTGCTGGCAGCCGGTGTGCTAAAAAGGGACCCAGGGGAAGTGGGCACAACTGGAGCACCACCCATCAGGTCACAGGCCGGCACTGAGGAAGGCACGGCTCCGCTGGGCCCTGGAGGACGCTCAGGGATGTGTCACCTGAAAGCAGGGATGGTAAAGGGGAGGCCAAAACCAGTTACTGATGTCACTGCCTTCCTCCCTCGCCTGGAGGGTGGGCCACCGGAAGAATATACCTGCCGTTAAAGGAAGCGTCCCAGAGAAGGAAGAAGCACTGTGGCCAGTGACATGTGACATGAATGGTGCTGCCCTGTTACACTCCCCTCAAGCACACCTCCCAGACAATCTGCACATTTCCTAAGCCACGCAGTCAGAACAGTCCCCACTGCATCTGTTAACACCCTTCAAACTAATGATGCTCTTCACATTCCTTTCCAAGAAGAGATACATTCTTTTTAAAAATAGAATAAATTTTATTTTGAATCATATCTGTGATTTAGAATTAGCATTTAATACAAATAACACTCTTTTTTAAAGTAAGACAATCACAATGAAAAAACTAACTTACCTCAGGGTAAAGATTGAACCTTTTTAATGTATTAATAACAAGGGGGTATTCAGTCAGCTTATCATTCATAATCATCCACACTCCGTTCAAAAACGAGGGTGCTTCCACAATAGTCTTGAAGTAGGAATAATACAATCCCTGAAATAAGCACATATTACAGTTATAATAAAAAGCACATAATTACTGTACCTCTTATTAGCTTTAAAAAAGCGTAAAGTACACTGTGTTTCAAAAACAAAGCAATCAAGTAAGTAATAGCTACAATCAACTTCACAGTTTTCTAACCACTGATAAATTCTTAGGTTGCAAAAACCTACAGATTTTAGTATAACTGTCTTAACTAAAACAAATGGGTTCAAAAGAGCTTCAAAAATAGTTTCTACATTAAAAAAAAAATAATATAGCTCAGCATACCTCATTTAAGAAAGCCCATATAATGTAAGTGTTGGAGGAGGCTATCTTATGAATAGGGTGAGTGGTTTGCTATGGAACTTAAAATTTACCATGAGCCACAAATTCTTACCTGGCCAAAAATGTTTCTCCTAACAGCTTATTTGAATTCTTGTTCTGTAAGTTTGATTTTGGAATCATGTAAATATCTTACTAATCATAAAATTACAAATTTAAATACCTACATGTCAAAAAAATTTTAAAGAAAGAAATTAACTATCAAGTTGGGAGATGATTTCCAATAACTTTAAGATACAGCAATTTTACTGTGCATCCCTACTATGTATCCTTAAGTCATATTGAAATGCAAGAAAGTCCTAACTTGTTTCCAGCTATCATATTTTAATCACATTTTTAACAATACCTTTGGCACTATTATTCTTCAAAAGTAAGTAATTTCAAACCAACATTCTCAGGCTAACAGAAAAGATACAAATTTAATATAAAATAAGTAAAAACCATGAAATACTAAATTTGAATTTAAAAATATGAAGATAAATTCACGATTTATTTTCTCTTAAAAAGACTGTTTCCTAATTCTAATTTATTTAAAAGGCCAATCTAACATAAAATAGCAGCAATGAGCATATCTAGCACCAAAACTGTGGTCTCTAAATACCATTTGCCACTGAAAGGAATCAGGGCTCCTTGAAAAACTGGACAACTCCAGGCCAGGAGATAAAATGTCTACAGGACCAGAAAGTAAGGAAGCTACAGGACACTGGTGAGGTCCTGTCAAGGGGACAGAGAGCCAACTGCAAGGCTCTCAGCACCTACAGACGGGTAAGTTTATACAACGTTCAACCCATCAGATCATAATGAGAAGATGCAAGAGAACCTACTAATTTTTCTGAAAAGTGGTATCTAGAAAGAATCAAGAAGGACCCCGCCTTACCTGTATGAGGTACACCCCAGAGAAACCAAATAAGTATTATGGGAAAGTCCTTTATAGAAGAGTTACAGTCAATAATGCAGAAAAGGTAATAGAATAGATAGTCATCATCTGGAAATCCTAATGAAATAACTGATCTAGGGTGAGGGCCAGCTATGACAATACCTAAAGCCATTGATCCATCTCAACATCACAGAAAGTGAGACAACCAGTTACACATGTCTCTTCACATGGTACAGTCAGTGCATAGCCCCACTTCTGAAGTATCCCTGCCCCTCCCCCCAAAAATCAAACCTTCAGCTATTGAGACTCTTATCTATCAATTTCCAGGACATCTGGGACAGTGGAACATATTAAATACATGAATTACTGAGGGTAATTCTATAGGACAAATGGCCAGGCTTCTTCAAAACATAAATAGCAAGGAAAACAAAAATGAAAGAGGAACTTATAGATTGAAAGGCTTAAGAGAGAAATAAGAGATACATCAACTAAATGCAATGTTTGGATCCTGATTCAAACATACCAACACACTAACTGTAAAAAAAAAAGTCAATCGAGACACTTACACAGGGATTGACACTCGATGTTATTAAAAATTGCTGTTCACTGTTTTCAAGTGTGATAAAGGGACTGTCATCAACAAAAAAGTCCTTTCCAGAAGATACATGAGAGTGTTTACAGGTGAAATGATGTAAGACTGACGTCTGCTTTGAGGAGAGGGGGTGTGTGAGGTGTGGATGAAACGAGAAATGGCTGTGTCCTGGGTGTTAACCTGGGGGATGAGATGGAAGATGTCCACTTTTTCTACTCTGGAACATCGTTGAAGATCTCCGTAAGAAAAAGCTTAACATTTTTAGATTTCTAAAATACTACAATCAAATACCACATGAAAACTAACCATTTCAGTGCGAAAAGCCATCTCCCTTTCCAACGTTGAGAGGTGAGAAAAATGACGATCATTTTCAAAGAGGTGTGTTATGTGGCTCCTGCAAAAACAAGAGCGACAGAGCAACAATGCTGAAACTTACTAATAATTATCTAATAATCTGCAGATAATTTCATAACAACATGCAAATACAATGGGACCCATATTTGTTTTTCTGCTCAGTATGTCTTACGTCTGTACTAAAATTTCTCTCTATAAGAAAACACATTCAAGTTAGATTTTAAAGTTAAAATGAAACAGAAAATACTTTAAGCCAAGTTCAATAAAATTTGTAGACTATAAATGTCATTGAATTACCATTTCAGAAATGTCTGATTAATGAAATTCATATTTCTCTCTATCCAGATTAAAAAAATTAATCTTCACAACATGAACACTATACTGTTAAGCGAAATAGAGTCTCAAATATAACCTCTTCAATAATGAATCTATTAAAAAATTCTATTACTCTGACCTGATTTATCAATTAAACTACTTTTTCAGATTCCTGTGTTGCATGTGATTATATATATTCACCCTGGTCATACTGAAATGATCCCCTTACAGCGAAGGAAGATAGCGAAGGTAAGTTATAACGGTCTGCATACAGAGGACCACAGGAGAAAAACAATCTTACCAGTGCAGTACGGCGGCAACGGCAGCTGGAAGGGAAAAAATATTAGATTATTATGTTAACATAAAGAAATGTTTTCAACTTAACGGAAACCATTACAAAGATATGCACGGGTAGGGATGCATAAGTGTTGGAATTGGAGGGGCTGGGAGAAGAATATTGTCTCTTCAAAAGAAGCCCCAGGACTCTGCTTAAAATACCAGTTGGTTGAATTGCAAAGGAATTAAAGCAAATTAAGCATATGTCTACAATTTTCACTCGCTCTTTCGACAAAATATATGAAGGCCTATTATTTGCCCAAAACTGTACAAGGTGGCCTCTGAGGGAAACATCCACAAACAGCACCGTGAGAGGAACAGCCAATGGCGAGGGGTGACCTGGAAGAAAGATGCTGACTTCAGGAAGGGGGCGGGCGGCGGATAAAAACAGGGAGCTGGAACTTTTACATATTGCTGTAATACCTGAATTTTTATGATACATGTTACTATTTTTAAACAAACTTAAAATGAAATAAAGAAAGGAGAGATGGAGAGGGAAAGGGAGTAAAGAAAAGGTAAGAGCGAGAACACAGGCCAATAATAAAATCAGTATATGAGAATTGTGAACAAACAGACCAAAGTGGAGCTGAGCCCGCAGCAGCAAACCATGACTTAATGCCAAACGTAGCTGCAGTGTCGGCTTGTGCAGGAACGCAGCCTGGAACCAGTCAACCTGGAGTCACTCGCTGCAGGAAGGCCCTTCCCCGACCCCTCAGGAGGGCAACCCTGGCTGAAACAATGCACTCTTGGCTAATAACGCCACCACCCCGCATCCCACCCCACACCCCCACATCCCACCCCTGCCTTTAAAAACCTTTCCTTTCCACGGCCCAGCCGAGCTCCTTTCTACTTGCTGGATGGGAGGCTGCCCAATTCATGAATCATTCAATAAAGCCGATTAGATCTTCAAAATTTACCCATTTGAATTGTTGTTGTTTAACAGAATCAATAGTTTGCTTTCTGTCCAAGTACAAAGAACCTATTAAGATGAATCTAGAAAATACCATTCAGTTCTTTTATATCTCAAGGTTCACCTTACTGCAGGCTTCTGATTAAATAATTACTAAGGAGCCGGACAATGAAAATAGCTCAGGTCTTTGCCTTATTCTTAAAGAAGTGTTTATATCTTTAAAATAATACACTTTGCCTAGGAGATAGGCGAAGGGTTACTCTCTAGATCAATGAACCTGCAAATATTGAATGAGGCTTGTCACTTGACATTTGTTTGTATATGATACTTTGACCTTTGGAAATTTTGATTTTTTTTCTTGTGGACAAACACCATCCGCTTCCTTTTCATTCAAGACTTCACCCCACCATAATACAATGTGGGCTTTACGTTCTCAATGATCTAACCATAATGTTCTGAATAAATCACTCTTCTCTCACAGAATGTAAAGCCACCTTTATCGTACTGAAGACTTGTCATACTTTGATAATCCCTTTGAGAGTATAATTGGGATTCCATTTATAAATTAATTTGGGAAGAATCCACACGTTTACATTATAATTCCATATGTTCACATCCATACACATGATATATGCCCTCCATTATTCATCTTGCTTTTCAAGTGCCCTTGACAAAAATCCTATCAGTGGAGTTAATACATATTTAATACAGTCAATTCATATTTCTTATTAAGTCTGCCTGGGAATTTAACGTTTTTTTCTGCTAATATTCACAAAATTATGTTTTCATTATATATACTAGATATTGTTAATGTATTTATTTTTCAAGTGTATTTTGTAATACATGTATTTGTGGATTTTTTACTAAACAATTAATTCGTAGAGACTTTTTGGTTTGTCATCTTCAATTCTCCATTTTAAACAATATTATTTGAAAATAATAACGGTGCTCCTATTTTATATTTTGACTGTTAGTTTCTTCTTCCCATTTGACAATAATAAACTTGTAGAATACTAAGCGATTCTCTAAAAGAGGGCATCCTGTGTTTTGCTGACTAACAGCATTGATTTCACGCTATACCTTTAAGTTGGCCTTGACCTCCACAATTCCCGGGTGATGAACAGGATTTCTCAAGGCCATCATCCCTCTACTTTCTCAGGAGAAGGGTGGAAGGTACAAAGTGGCCTTTGGTACCTTCTGTAATACCTTTCCTTCAATTCCTACAGCACTGGAGTAAACAATTCTTGGAGTTCTTGGCATCTGAATGGCACTCTTTCACAGTCTCTGGGTCAATTAATAATGTGCTCAACATTGTGAATTCCTTTGTCCATTTTCAGGTAGTAGTAAGCATGATAAAGTAGCTAATATTTGAATTCTTATTACAGGCCAGAAACTTTTAGTGCTTTACTCGAACTACCTCAATAAATCCTCACAGCTATCCTATGTGGTAGGGACAAATGTTGCCCCAGTTTACAGATGAAAAATTGAGGCCCAGAAAACTTGAGTAACTTGCCCAAGGAAAGAAAGCAAGTAAACAGAGAAAGGGAAGTTGCAGGCAGGGACTGTGACCTCATAGCCATGCCCTGAGGGGACTAGAGTGTGGGAGAGACAAAGGCCAAGGCCTCCTTACTCTCAAGTATCTTATTCCCCCCATCTTTTTTTAAATATTAAAGATAAAAGGGAAAAGCTGCAGTTCATCTGTAGATATAGGCAGTATGTTTTATAGAAGCTATCTATATATATAAAAGGCTAATATGCTAAGTGTCCAACAGTCCCACCAGTTGTTATGATGTGCACTGACCACCAGGGGGGAGATGCTCGACACAGGAGCTGCCATGACACGCACTGGTCATTTATAGAGAAATGGCACCGAGGGCCTGGTGCTCACAAAGCAACACTCAGCTTCCCCCAAGTGGGACACAGGCCCCGCCACCACCCCAGAGAGACAGCCCACCAAATCGCAGAATCACAGCCAACATTGCCGAGACTGCATGGCGCAAAATGAGGCTCACAGCTCAGCCCAGCCCATAAATGGTGCCCCCTGCTTTCCTGTGCTTTGGCAGCCCGGAGTTGGGGTACCAGGAATGGAGCTGGGGTACCAGGAGCAGGGACCAGGCCTGTGCTCGTCGGACGGGGCTCCTGTAGTCCTAAAGCAGCTCTTGCTCCCCCTGATGCCCCTCCTTCCAGCCCGCCGCCGCCCCCAAGGCAGTTCAGGCCTTTGTTCTTGCCCTCTGATGGCTCCACACAGGCAAGTCCAGTGCCTGCCCCGCCCCACTGCCTGGCCACAACATTAACAGCGGTAAGGAGGGCAGGAACCCAGGAAGAAATGGGGCGGGGTTCTTCCCTGCATTCTGACCATCCTCAAGAGCTCTGCCCACCATGCTCCCTAGCTCTCACCTCTCCTGGGTCCTCTCCAGGCACCCCACCCCAACCAGGTGACCAGGAAGTAGAGCCCTGCAATCTGCATTTCAAAAAATATATTTTACTGATTTGAAAGAGGAGAGGGAGATAGAAACGTCAATGATGAGAGGGAATCACTGATCAGCTGCCTCCTGCATAGGCACATCCCACACTAGGGATCGAGCCTGCGACCTGGGCATGTGCCCTGACCAGGAATTGAACTGTGACCTCCCGGTTCACAGGTCAATGCTCGACCACTGAGCCATGCTGGCCGGGCACGATCTGCCTTTTTAAGATTCCTCAGCCGAGTCCTCTGCAGCTGAAGTCCGTTCTCTCCTCCTCCTCCTCAAGGAGTGAGAGCAACATTTGGAGCCAGGGTGGGCTGCGTCTCCGGGGCCCTGTGCTCACCTGCAGCCAGTGACATGCCTTCCTGACCCACACATTTCCACCCGGGACAGTCATTCTCCCCGACACGTGACTCTGTAACTAGCATGTGCTTTAAGCGACACAGCACCTTCCCCGGCTCTCCTGATTCTCACAGCAACCTGGAGAGGAAGGACAACGGGCACAAGGGGGTTTCTCCGAGGCACACAGCTGGCAGGGGCAAGCACTAGGGGACCCAGGACTTCTGACTCCAAGCCGGACAGAGCTGCCTCCTTTCCCATCTGTGGGCATAGGAGGACCTCACCTAGTGACAATGTTATATGAAGAAATGCATTCTAAGTCCAAAAGACTTGTGAATTTTAAAAATACAACTTATTCCTAAATTGAGGTTAATCCATGCTTAAAATACTCTAAAGAATTTTAGCCTCCCTAACCCTCAAATGACAAAAAGAAGTTAAGGACGTCCCTTTAATCTATTAGACAAGGTTTTCAAGTCAGCCTTGACAATTCCACACACAAACCCTTCCTGCTATGACTAACAACTTCTGATTGTTCTCAAGCATCCATTCGCGGTGGGGGGGGGGGGGGGATGGGGGACATCTGTAATGTCAACAATAAATAAAATAAATGTTTATTTCCAGAAGCTGAGTCACCAGTAAAGAGCATCCCTGTCCCAGGTCAACTCATGGAGAACACAGTCAAGTTCTATGTGTACAGACCTAGCAACTCATCCCTTGTTAGAAAAGCCCCAGGACCTCCATAGCTCACACCGGAGCCCACCTGACTGGCCGATTTCCACTTAATCCCTCCCCGCAGCCTTCCCGCCGGGGCACTGGGCAACAACCCCCTAAAATACCAAGTGCTTTCAGGACGCTATGCCTTTGCTCCCGCCTGAAAACGCCTCCTCCATCCTCCAAAGCTAAATGGCATTTGGGGGAGCCTGCCCTCCGCCCCAGCTGTACCTTCCACAGCCCTGGTAGCTAGTCACCCCCAGCAGCTTCCTCTGCTGGAAGCAACGCCTTGAGGCTGAGCTCCCGGTGAATTCACCTTACTATCTCCATCTCCTGGCACGGTGCCTGGCACCTCACTGGCTTAGAATGTTAAGTGACTGTCACCATGTAAGAGAAATTATAGCATGTGCTCAATTCATTAAGAACCTGAACACCTAAAGACAATATCTAAGCTTTCTAAACTGCCCGGAGCATGCCCATTACAGAAAGAACAGTGTGTTATAAAACCATAGAGTGTACGGAAATAAATATCTCTATCTACTAGTATAGTGTCTAGACGAAACAAAGCCCAGTTTCTGTGCAGTAAACTATCAAGTGGAGACATTCTCTAGGCCCCGGGCTGGGAAAGAGGAAGCCATCACGCACACCACACGCTCAGCTCCCTCCTCCTCTCCAGCACCGAGATGTGTGTGGGTTTTAAAGTCAGCAAATATCTAAATGACGACTAGTTGCACAGCACATCTTCCCAGGAACCGAGAAGACCATTAAAGAAACACCAGCCAATACCTGCGCCCTGAGAGATCCAATCTCCGAGATAAGGTTTGGGCACATAAATAACGAGAGAACACAACAGGCACTCGGGGAAATGGCGCAGCCCGTGAACTGTGCGGGATCGGAGCAGGCAGGTCAGTAATGACCTTGTCAGGGCAGGTTTACAAAGTGGGACTGGGGGTAGCTCTCATGATATGATTACAACGTAGGTGGGATTTATGGCGAGTAGGCAGAAAAGAAGACAGCTATAAAAAAGCTGTCCAACATGACAAAAGAATTCCCATCACTGACAGTGATGGGACAGAACATAAATGGCAATGACAATAATGAGAGGATATTTATTGAGTCCCACTCACTATATGCAGGGGTAGGCAAAAGTAGGTTTACAGTTGCACATAAGCGAGAGTTTATTCTTATGGGATTGTGTATTATTGTATTATTTATTTGTTTACGACTGTGAGCCTACCTTTGCCCACTCTACACACAATGTGTCCAGCTCTCAGACAGCCATGAGCACCAGGAGGGGGTTCGGCAGAGCTCCTCAACCGGAGGGGCCTGGAGCGCCCCGGCCGGGAGTGCCCGAGTCCAGTCGCCAAAGGATGCACTGATGTGCAGGAGCAAAGTCCTTAGAAGGAACTGAAGAATCAGGACGAAGGTTTAACTGGGAGCATAGGAAGCGCGTGTCACCACACCTAAGACAATATAGCTAGGCATGTAAACAAAGACAGACATAAAGTACGTTTTCACATTTTTTAAATATTCATATGAGCAGCAGCCAGCAAAGCAGTGCTCTTCCTAAAAGAGTTGTCAGGTTTGGAACACGTGAGGTCATCTTCCCATTCACGTATTGATGACGGTCCTCAGACTGCAGATCTGACACCTACAACCTGACAGATGTGCCGAGCCTTGGACTTCACCCCAGCCTCACCAGCCAGCTCACTAGCGATGCCGGCCGCTCCCTGGCCGACATCAGTTCCTCCCCTGGGAGACCGCAGGAGGTAACCTTTATGAAATCTCCACGGAGATCAAAGATGAGAAAAGAATGAGAAGAAGGTCTTAAAAAATGTTAGACACGGTGGAAAACAGGAGCACTATGCCAGTTCCGTAAGTACTTCATGATCAGTATTAAATGTAGGGACACACCCGAGGTTTCCCGATTCCGCACTGGACGGTGGCCTTACGAAAAGCGGTGTGAGTGCCAGGAAGTCAACAGGAGAAAACAGCGCAGGGCAGTGACATGAAGGCAAACCTGAGTTGCTATAAGAATATGAAAAAAGCCTCACTCTTCTCAATTATAACAATCTTCTCAAATTAGAAACATTGTCATGATGGCAAGTTTTCAAAAGTAATTAGTCAAGTGACTTATACCTGTGTTTCAGATACAGCGGGTGCGACTGATGAAGCCACCTGCGTCCTTGCTCAGTACAGTGAGTCACCCTGGAGCTCCCGCGCTGGATCCTGGTGACTACGCTAAGTTAACATTTGCTGCTATAAATTAAAATGACAAAATGCCATCTGAACACGGATTATGTGTAGTGACAGTGCTGAAGAACACACCTGACCATCGGTAACTTTGGCAAGAAAATTGAACAAGAGAACACATGACAGACAAACATGAAGACATGTGAACTATTAATTTATATGCATTCAAAAAAAACACAGTGAAAATGCTGAGAAAATAAAGTATATTAAAGCAAAAAAAACAAACACAAAAAACAGTTCCAATAGTTGTAGATCTATGCACTCTGAACATTATTTCTTCCACTTTTTACATTTATTCCTATTCAATGATTCTCGAGTTACGAAAGGTCATCCACGCAGAATGGATCTTTCCTATGAAACGAGACCGCCTTTTCTGGAATTAAACATCCACATAATGGTCTTGACCTAGAAATAGATGGAATTTTCACTAACTTTGATGACTGGTAATCATTAGAATGGTAAGGAAAGAAAACCAGCAACACACAGGCTGTGGTCCCTATGATAATGCATCTCATTTACATAAACTTCTTTTTTTTTTAATCCTCACCCAAGGATATTTTTCTATTGGTTTTTAGAGAGAGTGGAAGAGAGAGGTTAACACAGAGAGAAATATCGAGGGAGCCTGCAACCGAGGTATGTGCCCTTGACCACCTTGGGAATCAAACCCAAAATCCTTCAGCCCGCAGGCTGATGCTCTATCCACTGAGCCAAACTGGCTAGAGCACATTTACATAACCTTTAAGAGAAATTAATACAGCCAAACAGCTCAGTGTGTAGAACTTACAAAAACGGCTACTGTTTAAATTTTAGCAACATCCAAATATGCATATGTGTACAATAAAATTGTACCTGCTCTTACTATTGATGCCACAGCACGACCACAAATCAATCACAAATTGGTAACATAGCATCAGATTTACACTAAACTCATCACATATGCTATTTATTTGAGTACTCATGAATGTCAGGTTCAGAACCCTTCTAATTGTATCTCTTAATATGTTTAAGGGAGTGTGAACATTCTTTAGAGTTAACCAGAAGTCTATTTTATAAAGAAAAAAACAATGGCTTTAAGCATTGAAAAAAAACTCTTTAAATCCTGAATTCCCACGCTTTCACTGGGAAATATACAGGTCCGACATCTCCTTATTAACACACACTCAGCACCGCGCTCAGCCACGCCTCCGCCTTCGAAGGCGAGCCCCCCAGTTCAGCGGTGGCTCCTGAGCCTCAGTCCCTCAGTTCTTCTGGGCCCCATGCCGCCCGATATGCTCTCCCCACGTCTTACTCCGCTTCTCTATGTGGAGTCCTCTTTCCCTGAAGAAGGGAGAAACAAGAAAAGTAACGCTATCGAGCACTAAGTGTTGGGCTACCTCTCTTCCCTCACTATACTCGCCTGCAAAGGGTGAAACACAGCCTCGTGGTTAGAGCATGAAGCCTGGAGGCACATCACCTGGGTTCAAATCACTGCCCTCCCACGTTCTAGGGGTGATCTTGGGCACCTTAACACCTGTGGGCCTCAATCCCCCACCTGGTAGATCAGCCACAGTGTCACGGTGAGGGCTGAGGGAGCAGTGAAGTGAGTTCTCTCAGACCCGCAGAACGATGCTGGCACACAGCAGCCCGTGTCAGGAAAGGTGCTGTGATGGCTCCATGCGCTGAATCCCACCCACCGCCAATGACCCTGTGGCTGTCTCCACTCCGACCTCTTCTCTGACGTCCCATCGCCTGCGTGACATTCCCACTCGGATGCACCAACGCCTCCAGGGTAACACGCCCAAGAGAAGACAGAATGCTGGATCTTTTCTATCCAACCCGGCCCTCGCCAACCCCCACCCCATGGCTTCCAGCACCCTAGGAATAAAAACCCAGGTTCCTGAGGGAGATCTGGTTTGTGCCCATCTCATGTTGGTGCCCACCACCCTCTCCTCTCCCACATGCTAAGCTGCCCACAGTGGCGCATGCTGCCCGCTGCACCCCACTCTCTCTTCCTCTGCCCGCCTTGCACCTTCTCTTCCACTGGGGATAGGACAGAGGCGAGGAGGACACACAGAAGGCGATGAAACAGCAGTTTCACCACCGGCTATCTTTCCCACACTCAGGTTACTTTTTTAAAATATGTATTTTTATTGATTTCAGAGAGGAAGGATGAGGGAGAGAGAGAGAAACATCAATGATGACAGAGAATCAGTGATCGGCTGCCTCCTGCACGCCCCACCCTGGGGATCGAGCCCGCAACCCGGGCACGTGCCCTGACAGGGAATCGATGCTCAACCACTGAGCCACGCTGGCCGGGTAGGTTACGTTTTTTATGATGTTTGATTAGTAAATGGCATCTTACATTTTGGTCTTTCACCACAGACAAGCTTTGTTTCACATTTAACAGGCACACTCTTCATTTCCGCAAAGGAAAGCACCCTCCCCTATTTCCTGGAGCACAGAGCCCTCTCGGTTGGCCTCTTGTCTTCCCGCTGTGATAAGGGGTGTGGGGACAAGAACTTTGTCACTCTTCTTCGAACCCTAATTCAGATAAGCCATATCAGATGATAAATGGCAACTCAGAGCCCGTGTCAGGAAAACAACTGAGACTGGGAGAAACTTCCAGAACCTGGACTGCGTCCCCATTGAGAAGCGGGAGGAGGTTCACTCCGTTCCAGTGGATTCCTGCTAGGAAGTCAGCTCAGGAGGCCAGGCAGCCTGCTTCTAAGAGAAATGGGACAGCAGACTTTAAAGCCACCGATGCTCCCCCCTCCACCCCGGCCCCAGGTGCTGACTGCACGGGCCAAGGCCCCTGGGCTTTGAAGTTCCAGGGGACAGCTAAGGCTGAGGACCCTAGTCCCGTCCAGAGCTCCACCTTCACGTGGACAAACTGAGACTCAGAGAAGCTGGACGCTGCGCCCAGGCCCCTACCTGGTTTGAAACAGGTAGAGGCAGAACGCAGCTCTTCGAAGGCAGTGTCTGCAAACTACAGGTCAGCACAGCAAGACAGGAAACAGCTTAATGGCCTATAAACAGCATTTCCAAAAGGGCAGGTAGGAAATCAGAGTGTGCTCCACACGTGGGCACGTGTTCTTACATGACACTGAATACATGCACGTGTGCTTCGTCTCATGTGCCTCTCCACATGCGAGTTCTCCTCTCCTCTGCCTCGCTCCAGCCCCAGGAGGCTGACCACACACCCCTCACTGGGCCCCTTGTCAGGGTTTCCAGGGGGTCAGCAGTGAGAGGCACCAGCAGAGCGTCCGGAGCCACTCTTCTCCGGGGGGTCCTGCTCCCGGCACAGGCCTCCTGGGGTGCAGCTGCTGACAGCGCCCCTTCCCTTCAAGCCCAGAAGGGGCAGCACCTTCCCACTGTGCACAGTGCCCGGGGCTTCAGGCCCTTTGTGGACTCCTCACGCCTGCTCAGGCTTCTGAAAACAGTCCTGTATCAGATGTCCTGCCAGGACATACAGGAGGAGACAGAGAAGCATACAGCATTGGGTTGCACTTTCAGGATGTGAGCAGATTTTAACGTAACCCTATTGCTCACTGTGGGTTGTGGTCAGAGAAGTCTGAGGAACACTGCCATGGTTTTCCTGACTGCAGCACGGCCTCCCTGGCTGATACAGGAAGCTACTGGGTTGAGACGCCTAAAGAACATTTCAAGAACCTTCTTTGCAACTGTTAGTGTTAAATAAATCCTAAGTCATGGCCCCAAATGCGGAAGACGTGTTTATTACAACGAATTTTTAAACAATGTTTAACACTGCCCTACTGTGGAAAGGTCCCCTTGGTAGCTAGCACTTACACTTACGAAGGAGATGAGAGAAACTGACTTAGGGACCCCCAAGTCTAACTCTTAAAAATTCGTAGTTTTATCAAGGAAACTCAAGTTTTAAAATTTCTTCCTAAACATAAATGAAGCCATTTTTGTCATATCACAGTCCCACACTAAAGACTGTGCAGGGTCAGCCCAACTCTCACTCACTCTGCAGGGGGACAGAAGAGAGGAAATGAGGCCGTTTTCAAAATGTCTGTACGCTGCTCGTCTGTGCACGATCGAGAGTAAAGGGCCAGAGAAAGAAACGAACATCCAGGTCCTATCATTCTCCAGAACCATCTCTCAAGGTGTCCTGTGGCCTTTGCAGATGGTTAGCAAGGACAGAAGTCTCTAGACCTTAGTCTAGTCACCCAAGTCCATACATCTGGAGGTCAGTGGCCAACGGAAACCCAGGAACATGAGACAGTTCCTTCACTGGGCCTCCTTCCAATCGCCAAAGGGGTGAGTCAGATAGAATGGCCCACTGCTATATTAACACAACACTGTATTTAGGTATGGGCATCGCTAAATCCAAACACAGCTACCCAACATAACAAGATTCCAAGAAAATGCAATGACAAGAAAACAGGCACCAGAGAAAATGGCAATGGGTATTCTTTCTGACTTGTTACTGCACCTCCTTGAAGAAGCACCGCCATCCCCTACTCCAGTATAAAGTTGTGAATGTGTACACTGGCCATTCACGAAAAATGCAACTTCATTCTGCCACCAGAAGGCAGGCAGCACCCACCTGCCTTCATAACAGCGACTAAAACTTGTGAAATGGTTTAGACCCAAAGTGCCTTTCCATCGATAGGGTGTCCCCAAAATGTATACACACACTTGGAATCATTTTAAAGGCAGCGTTTATTAAAATATATTTCATTTTCAAAATTGAGCTAGCAGCTGCGAAAATGTGTATACTGTACGTTTTTGGGGACACCCTTCAGTTCTGCTCCTCGGGACATTCCCGTGAAGTAGGGAGGGGATGGAGAAGAGAGAAGGAAAGGTTCACAAAGGAGATGACTTGAAACTCAAACCAAACTTCACCACTGGGCACGGAACCTGGAGGCGGCCTCATCCGCTGTACCATGCTGCCTCCCCCAGGTGAACTCACCCCGGCTGCACACCCCAAGCTTTCTCCAGCCTGCCTACTGACAAGACGGGGACTGAACAGTACTGAGAGTCTGGGTTTTCTAGGCTTGACTCCACAACAGGAAACAAAGTACCCCGAAACTGTAACAATCTTTCTGAGCCATCACTAGCGTGCGCGCGGACACACACACACACACACACACACACACACACACAGTGATGAGTCTGGGTTCTTAGGATTTGAGTGGCTTCTAGTGGCGGCTGTGCTCTCAGGGGAAGTTGATTTGCTGGGTTCCATTTCCCGGCCTATATTGAGCTCCAAATCCTTTTGCTTCCCTAAGGGAACTGGAAAGGTTAATAAGAGATACATCACCGGTAGTTAAACAATTCAGTAGCCAGCGCCCGTTAGTGGCATTCCTAGGAGCAGCGGCGATAGAGAAGGTTACTGGCTGACTTAGAAAAATGAGGCCTGTTACCTACACTGCCCTAACTTGCCTTCTCGGAATGCACATCACGAAACAAAGGCCAGCTGACGTCGGTCCACACCAGCGAAGGTTTCCACTTTGTGGTGTTCGGCACCTTGCACATCATCCTGTTTGGTGCCGGGCCCCGGGAGGGGAGGGGCGGGGAGGGGAGGCGAGGCCTCCACACCAACCTTCCCAGGTCCCAGGTCGCAGGAAGGAAATGAGGCTCGGGCACCCAAAACGCCCTGGAAAGTGACTGGCGGAGGGGAATCACCAGTAAAGTGCCCCCGGTGGAGTGGGCGGCCGAGAAGAAAAAGGCAGGCTCACATGTAATAAGTTTAGCAACTTTCTAGGACAAGGAACGTGCTCTAGCTTTGGGCTCGATGGCTCGCTTCTGACCCAAAGCCAAGCACCCGCCGGGCAGTGGCCCAGATCAGGACGAGGCTGCGGCGCGCGCCAATCAGCGGCGCCTGGTCTCCGTATCACAGCCCGGCCAGTGCGCGGCGGGGACCCGCAGCTGTTGACCTCGGGCCCATGTTTTTAAAAGCAGAGCCCCCGACCGGGTGGGGAGGGAGCCAGGCGGCCGGAGCCGGGGGGAGGGCGGCGGAGGAGGAGACGCGGCTGTCCCGGGAAAAGTCGGAGCGGCGCGGGCTGCAAACTGGCGGGGCCCGGGGGCGGGGCGGGGCGGCGGGGACCGGGAGAGGAGCGGCGGAAGATCGGACCCCGCGGGTCACAGTTCTGCGTCCGGCGCAGGCGGGCGGGGGATGCAGGGACCCACCGAACCCGCCCCTCAAGAAGCAGCCCTGGTCTGGCCCCCTATGTGCAAACCCAATCCTTTTCTCACTAAATGCTCCACTTTGGGCATTTGAAACTTAAAAAAAAAAAATAATTGAAAAATAAAACCTTGGGGCTGGAAAGAGAGGACGTTAAATAGATGAAATGAGCCTATCCTCATAGGAAGAGCATACTATAAGAAAGACAAGTAAATTCCCAAACAATATAGAGACCACAGGAAAAAATATTGTTAAATGGGCAAGCAAACATCAAAATGAGCCCAAGAGAAGAACTATGCTGGGGAGCCAACTTCCTTCATCTGCACATTGGATTTTATCTTATTTTTTTTTTATCATATATTTGTTCTTGATTTCGGAGATGGAGGGGTAAGTGGAGAAAGAGAAAATTATTAAAGGGAAAAAAAAATTCATTGACCTGAGGGCTCCTGCGGCCCCCCACTGGGTACATAGTCCTGCAACAACGGACATAGAGCCCAGGACTAGAAATTGGACCATGGACCTCCTTGTTTTTTCAGTACACCTCTCATCACTTGACTATACTTGCCTGGGTTATTTAATGGAATTTTAACAA